AGATAGGAGTGGGAAAGGCGGTAATCCAACATAGCTATTTTCCAGAAAATATGACAGTCTCGCTCTAATTTCAAATTGATTAAATATTTTTACTCTTCTCTACTTTCCCTTATCCTCCCTTCCTGATCTGAAAAAAACATTCCTACGACTGATTTATTCATAACAACATTCGTCCTACAATTAAAATGAGATTTAATAAATTTTATAAAGTCGATGATTGTCATGTAAAATAGTTTACTAAAATAACGTATTCACGAATAATGTAGCAGCAACAAGGACTAGAGTATTTAAACGGTAGTAGAAAATTGATTTCTACTACCGTTTAAAAAAAAAAATTTAAACAGTAGTAGAAAATTGATTTCTATTACCGTTTAAATACTCTAGTCCTTGTTGCTCATAGTCAAATATTACATTTTAGATAAAGGTCATAGTCAAATATTACATTTTAGATAAAGGATTGTCGGTCTTTAGTTTTCGTAACAAAATTCCTGCACTGTGACTGACTGATGCGGTGATATGTTCACGAAATTTTATGAGGAAGTAAGAAATATCTGAATAATTAGTTCATTAGGGCACTTTTATCCCTGCACTATTTCCAGTTAGTTCTGAAGACACAATGGTTTATCGCATAGTATCATTAATTTCTGGTATGCAAATTGAGGAAGTAGGATATCATGTTCAGCTATACTGTTTAACACTATATTCTGTTCAGCAGTAACAAGATGAACAGGAAGAATACACATAATATTGGGCCCCAATAATGTTTGATGTAATAATCTTTTAAAAATTCAAGAAAAAATTTCCGCACATTAAAATAACAAGTTGGAATATTTAAAGAAACCTTTGCACGTTCAACATTAGCTGTTGTGTATTCCAGAAAACGATTACGTGTGCTGCTGTGCTTAATTTTTTCGTCATGTCGTTGATTCCAGCCCTAAAAGTAGAAAATGAAATTGAATGAACATCAGAGAGAATAAACAGCTCGATGGCGTCAGATGAAATAGTTGTAGCTGGCATACAACTGCATATTAACAGCATCTGATACTTATTTAAGCTAAGCGATAATCGCCTCTACTCGATACTAAAGCTATCTGAAGTAATCCATAAATAATAAAGGAATCATACTTGATAATGAACGGTATAAATTGGTTCTCCATCGAGGTCATGCTCCACATTGATAATTTTCGCTTCATAATAAAGATTATCCAAATGTTGACAGAGTACCTTGGCATGCAATTCGTAAACATCGGAGGCTTTTGCAACTTCCTGTCATATAAATTCTATAATCAACTGATACTTTTTAGATAACCAGAAAGTGATTACAATAAAAATTCAAAAATTTGTCGCCGTTATGTTCACACTGTACTTTCTAATTTATCTATTTATCCAGTTCTATTGAATAATACTGAACATTTTATCTATGTAACTATATTCACCTATGTAATTGCATGTAACAGTTAAAAAGCAGACAATCAAAATCAAACTGCAAAAATATATCGTAGGTTATTGAACTAGTTATGCTAAAAATAAATAAAAATGAAGCCACTCATATTCTAACATTTGTATCAAATGATATCACTTTTACAGAGCTCTCGGAATTTTCCGGTATTTTCCTATAGGTATTTTACACGGCAGTATGCCAACATATAAAGCATAGATAATATATTTCAAATATTTTAAATTAAAAATCAAGAGAAAACAACCTTAGTTGTATCCTTCGGAGCGGTATTTTCCTTTTTCGGAGGCATTGTTTGAATTCCGTGATAGGAGGATGAGAAACAGAAGAAAACCACTACTAAATTCAAGCAACTTCTGAAAAATATGAGAATTGCCACCCAGTTTAATTGGATTGGAAACCTTACCAAGCTCGCTATCGAATACAAAATACCACAATGGATCCACGACTGGCTTTGGAAACGAATAATTCAGGACAACAATATTATTCGCCCCAGCCTTTTCTTTTTCGGACAAGTATTTATTTATTTTCAAATGGGAGCAAGTTCAGAAAGTTTGTCGAAATTTGTAAGAAAGAGCATTGCATAGACGCACATACATATATCAACTTACTTCCTTTAGAAAATATTTAAATTCATCTGAAAAGTTCTTGAGCAAAACTGTTTCAAATTAATAAACTTATAACTCGGGTTTCAGCAAGACATTTCAATCGACATACACTTATCAGAATAAAAGTTCGACAAAGTGGTGTGTAATTTATTAAAATTTTATTCGATAAAGATCTTTCTCAATCAACATCCGTATATGCCCGGGTTTTTCCACGACCAAAATTATTTTAATTGAAAACGGCTTGCAAGAATATCTTTGAAAATAAAAATAATCCTGAAGTTTTGTGAGTATAAACATTATTTTGAAATTGAGCATTTCGGAGGCTATATCAATTGCAAGTAAAAACGAAAAAAAGTAAAAATGAAAAAACTGAATTTTTTGTTCAAAATCTATAACATAGTCTTTTGAATATGAGTATGGAAAGAAAATAAAAAAACATTAGTGCTACAGGCAGTATAAATGCCAATTCATTTACTTGACAGTCAAAAATATGTTAGCTTTTTCATTAAAAGCTTACGTTTAAACAAGTATCAATGACACCGAAGTAAATTACAAATCAGCCAAGAAAATCAAACAAGTCAAGAAGAAAATGAGATGTAGAACCAAAAAAAAGGTTTGATCAAAACAACCAGACCAGGAACGTTGCCATTCGGTAAACATATACTTAAGTAATTTATCCTACTATTTGACACAATCAATAGTAAACATTTGTTAATGAAGTTGCAACGGAATTACACAAAATATAAAATTCATAAAAGGAAAAATGCACCATTATTTCGCAACATCAATTAATCGGTTATTGTGAATTATTCCACCAAACGATCAAAAATGACTATAGTGAAGTGGACCTGATTTTTGCCTCAGATATTACTGATATGAATTCAATCGTTTCTTTATTTCAAAAAGACTATCAAAAGCATTCATTTAGAAAACTGAAAAAATTAACCAACAATGATAACTGAACATTAACAATGGTAACTGAGCATTACTATTTCGGTAATTAGCTATCCAAAATTCTTTTTCGTTCACATGTGATATTCCTTATGCCACCGTCATATATTCTACCCATGAGGGCATTCCACCTTCAAACACTATTCCTTTCCCCCGCCCACACATATCGTCATTTACAAAAACATATAATAGTAAATCAGGAAAAAAACGAAGGAAACGAAAATCCCAGACTACTAAATTCATGGCCCTTTCATATGATGTCGATTCCGAGACCAGACAGACTATTATTGCTACGAATCAGATATGTTACCGAGAGTGCAAATTTAAGTGACGAAATAAATGTAAACGGAAATTGTCGAAGAGTACCGACATAACAGGACTAGTAGAAGATAATAAGAACACCCGGTGATGATCATCTATGGACATACTAGTATACATTTTTTTCCATCAGCGCATTGAGAAAAATACCCCAAAATTGCCGCCGTATAACAAAATTCATTGTCGGTTACATGAAGTTAGGCCTAACCGCGTTTTACCTTTTACTATTAACGAAAGATACGTGGTAGTACTGGAATAATCAATAAGGCTTATAATATTACATATGGCTTATAATGTCACCAGTTACATCATTACGTGTGATAGGTACACGTGTGTATGGAGCAACATGGAATGTATGAGCTAAAGTTCTTCATAAATTCTGAAGTATGTCCGCCGTGACTAACACGTGAGTGGTATTATGCGGTTCGCTGACCAGTAATTAATGAGCACACAAAACGCCATCTCAACGAGTTTAAGGGTGGGTTAAAAAAGTTTCCTGCAAACTTTCGGCTGCAAAATAACTGGGTTATATGCAGTTTTTTTTTAATCGAGGCTGACGCCTAATTTCAAAACTATCATCTTTTGTAGAGGTAACTATCACTTTAACAACAATATGACCATACACACTTCTGAAGCATTGAACACTTCGCAAAAAAAAATATTACCTTGGTGATACACGCACGGTACACAACGTGAAACAGGATCAACGTGAAACATATGAATCAATCGGTATGGTATGATTTGACATATGTGAAATACACGTTTGTGATATTGGGATTTAGTTTTCAATGAGAATTGTGAAACTTTTTGAGATGAATTCGATTTGAAATTTGAAAATTGAGAGGGACATTAATTTTTATTTGAATTTATGCAAAAAAAAAAGGTATTCAAGTCAAGTTTAAGCGCTGGATGGAAGCGGTTTATTTCATACCGTCTTTGTTTTATCTGTTTACAGTAAATTATTACGTGAAATTTTATCCAAAATGTTTTTCCTTTCCTTTCTTTATTTTACACAATTCTTCAGCCTACGACTTGAACCAAGACGATATTTTTAGGCAGTCGGAATTTGAAACTTCAACTTTAAAATGAAACTTAAAAGTTTTCGAAGTTTCCAAATACCTTTATTACATTCCAAGAAAAACCCTGAAATCTGCAAATCCATGAGCTATTTTCCAATAAAATTAATATTCAGAAAGGAAAACCTTTCGAACACACCTGACCTTCTGTAATATTTCAGTCGAAAATTCTACGAAAAGCAGCAGGACTAGAAATTCAAAACCATTCTGATTTCAAAGGCTTTCATGATATTACATTGATAAATTGTAAGTGATCTTCTGTTAGCAGAATTTTGTCTGATATTTCATTGATGATTGTTTTAAAGAAGTTCGCAAAAACTATGAATAAAACAAATTTTCAATAAAGTTTAAAGAAAATAACAGAAATAAAGCATAAACATTGCTTGAACTAAAATGAAATCATTATCATGAATTGTAAGATTTGATGAAGATGAGAATATGAATCGTATTATCATCATACCATATTAGCTAGCCTAAAATATTGCTTAGATCAGACTAGAATCAGACTAGTTCGATGATTTTCATCATCGACCAATTTATTTTCCAATATCCTGCAAAATATTTCTTTTTCTTTTGATTCCAGGGGAAAAAATGGAATGTGCAGCTAATAGTAAAGCTGTGATTTGTGACAAACGACCGCTTGAGCTGTACGGTAAGACAATTTGGAAGCCATGCCTATTCGGCTACATTTGCATCAAGGAATCTGATTGTTAGTTCAAAAGATGTCATCAATTGAGGTTTTAATTGTATACGTTTAGAAGCATCAATATATACGTAAACCATTCTTTTAAATCTTTCTTTCACTCTCTCCCTCCCCTCTCCCATCCAATTGAATTCTTGGTGCTTCAAATCACCTGATTTTCTCGAAGAACTACATCATATCGGAGAATAACTGATTCGGTTATGCTAGTAGACAATACGTTCGTATTGGATTGGCTAATGAACGATAGGTAGCTGGTGACACGTATTGCTAAACACTCTTCGGCTTGCTCAAAATTTAAATATACAACTATTATATTTTGTCTTCTGATGAATTGTTTGTTTGCTTCCACCTGGTGCTACAATTAAACAATATTCAAAAGTTGTGAAAGATTAGAAGAGATTTTCCTTCATTGATTTTATCATTTTTCAAAATCGCGTCAAGCTTAAAGTTTCTTATTGCATTCATTAATATTTCTAGTTAATGTTGAGTTTTTCTTGCAGATATCGATGAATTTCGACGTTGTATTGACTTAGGTATGGAGTTTAGTCCCATTCTCTGCAATAGCGCTTACGAATATCCACGAAATTTCAACTGTGATTTCTACGACAAATTTGCTTGTCAACGTAGCAAACGTTATATCTATTCGTGTGTTTGTATCAACAGTCATCGAAACGTGTAATTTGCTTTTTAAATTTTATTTCATTATATAATTACCTATTAATTTGTGGCAGTTTTTAGTGTAACTTGATTAATTGGCTTGGTTTGACTATCCCGATGGCCTCAAGAAAAATGAAAAAGTAAAAGTTGTGTGAAAGAGGAGAGGTGCCAGAGATTTCCAAAATTCATAAGCCTCGACGTTTTTTTTGATTGCGCTGTCTTTAACGATCAAGCATCCAATGGCTTCACTGATCTTGAAATATTCTGGCTGGTACCTAAAGTTATGTAACTTCAAATCTCACTATTTTCAAACTACCGCATATTTACCCTTATTTATAGCGATATGAAGACCTGCGCTAACACAACAGTTTGCAGTAAAGGCTTACCTGAAAAAGAAATTATATCATCCACCACGGGAATACAGGAAATAACGACCGTTCACGTTGTTAACACTACTATTCGTTACAGTTCAAGTGAGCATATCCATCTTTTATTTTCGTTCTATAGAAATTTCCAACTGTACTTAAGATTTACTTCCCAACACAAGACCAAAAAAGAAAAATCATTGAAAAAGGAAGTTTTAAAAAAATGGTTTCATGATATTTTTGCATCAGTTTTAAAAATGGTTTCATGATATTTTTGGTGTTTAAAATTAAACTAAAAGAGTTTATTTCATACTTAAGATCTCTTCATATTCAAGTGCTCCAACAATCTCTAATCGTTCAAGTTCTCTTAACCTTGAAATTTCAGCTCGAAATATAATAACTCCTCGAAGGAAATGCCATCCTGCACTACATTTGTCTGCGCTTCTGAAGGCCATCTTTTCCATTCTGTCAGCATTAAATTACTATTATAGTGGTAGATAATATACAGAAGGATTTTTGGATAGAGTATTGTGATATTATTAGGAAAAAAGGAAAACCAAACTGTAATTTGCAGTATAAAATATCCACCTTGTGATGACTTTAATACTGGTAGCTTCAAACAAAACCAAAAAAAACAACGTACAATAATCGGTCAATAAAAAATCAAAGATGACTTAAATTAAGATCTGGCAAAAGATCTGAATCAATTAGTTTTTCCAATCATGGTAATCATTAAAATTTCAACCAAAAACCAGAATTATAATAAAAAAACAAAATTCGATCAAAGTTCTTACGTAATTCTACGTCACATTGCAATGTGTAAAGATATATTAAATGAATGGAATTTTAAACCCAAAGATTTTGCCTTCATCACAAATTTGGATTAACACGTAAAAATTATATTCCATGACATTTGTCATGGAGGAAATGAAATCACAGAAAAGTTATGACGGAGCAGTAACGGAACAAGATTACATAAATGAAAAATATGTTAATATAAAAGTAAGAAGGAAAATACTTGTCAAGAAAAGAAATACATGTCTCTTAAACATCATCATCACTATGTCCACATTGAAATAGTCAAATAGAAAACCGAAATAATTATTTAATCACTGCTTTTATGAATGTGAAAAAAATGCAAAATGATGAAACTCAGAAAGAGCTACGAGATGACAGCGGATGATGAAAAACTGATTTGATGAAAAATTGATAATTGGTACTTGGAGAAAGGAATAAAGTTTTAAGCAAAATCAAAAAACATATCAATCTAGTCACATAAATTCACTAAACCTTGGGCTAGTAAACAAAAATGGATCGGCTATTGTAGTCTAAATGAAAAACATATAACTAAAATTAGTTTTGCAACCATTAATCAGAAATAAATGTTAAATATAATATAATCAGCAAAAGTGAAATATGTACATGGCACAACATAAACGAATAAACAAAATATCTATGTGAATAAATATTTAAAAAACTGGGCTAGTCTGAAATGATGTGAAAAAATGTAAATCATATACCAAATATTAAAATTAACAGCTTCATTGGGCTACACAAGATATGGACATGAAAGAATTTGAAACGAAAGGAAACTGAAATTTTCCAGAGGTCCTCATAACATGCAAGGAAAGCTGCATGTAATAATTAAGCAATTGTAGATATAACAGGAATAGTGGTAGATAAACAGGAATAAAAGCATGGGTTAATGTGTATATGTCGTACGAGCGGCAAACGAAATGTAAATTAATGCAGGTGTAAACATGAAACCCTACTAAAATAAATTCCAGCATTTTCCAGACACTTTTCGCTATATTTTAAATTTTATCCTGCAAATTCCGACTAGGCAAATCTCTCGCGATGTAGGAATAACAGCAGCGGAGCTATAAAGAAGCAGAAAAATGCGCATTCATTCCTAAACATAAAGTAAATCGATAAACTTAACCAGAAACCTGCAACTAATGTTATGCAACTTAGATAATATCTAACTGAAAACGAAAACAGTTCGCATCACGAACGTTTTCTGATAGCTAATTTCCTATCATTCTCTATTTGGTAATAACTAATTCCTCATCATTCTCTATCAATAAGCAAATGGCACCGAAAAGAAGAATAAATAATACACAAGAGTCGATGACTCCAGAATGCCAAGAAATTGGTTTGTTTTTTGGTGGATGCAGCTGCAATGATCGAGATTCATTACCAGATTACTTGATAACTTCTGCTACTTTCATCCTGCATTTCATATCGAAAAAAAAAACGCATAATTTACAAAGGAGAAATAGCGGTTACGACGTGCGAAGAAACAAACAATAGAGGCAATAAGGATAAAAGATTTAAATAAGTGCAGTGTTCGGTGAGTCCAGTGAACCAGCGTTTGATTTACGTTGAAGCAGAAGTTTTCTAAAAATAATTTGCAACTATCATCCGCAATTGTTTCGCCAAATAACAATTACAATACTTTTTAACTAAACAGTTTCTGAGAATACAAAAATTTATACCAAAATAAATATGACGAAAGTGTCAATGATTTGAAAGCTTTCATTCAAAAAATATTCATCTATATACGGATTGGAAAAATACTTTCTGATTACCTTATAAGTCTCAGCAGTGAAAAATCAGAGAATTTGAACTATTCTTATTTACTTAAAAGAGAAAGGTATTTTTTGAATCATCACATTAAAGGTTACAAGGGGCAAAAACAACATGGAAATCAGGCTAAAATGAAATGCGAAATACATCCTGAAGCAACAAAGGTACATTAAAAGCTTGATGCATTTTTTCAAGCAAAAAGAATAAATTGTCTTTCCTTCCTTTATTAATTAGAGCCACCTTGAGACGTAAAGAGAAAAAATAAGCTTATAAATTTAATTAAAGTCATCTTAAGATATATAAGATAATTAAATTAAATGCATAAATATTTTCACCACTTGCAAGATTAACTGACAGACCTATCGAGTGGTGTGATACGATTTAAACTTTGGTGTGAGTCGAATATCGAGCTTACTGTTGAAATAATTGAACTGAATGATAATTTCGATAACGATCGTCTCACCGCAAAATCATCTAAACCGCGATGCACAACAACTGGCCAATCGCCCATGGCTAATCGTGCTTGATGGTTATAAAACTCTATACAAGCCAAACTTTGCTGAGTTGGCTTCCTAAATGAAATAAGTGATTAGTTAGCAGATAAAAAAATGATTAAATCAAAAGTTAGAAATTTATGTTCAAAAGTGTAAATTTTTAAAATGCTTTAGTATTATGACAAAATTCAGCGACTGAGTTATCTGATTCACAAATCAATTATCAAATTACGAAACGTCTAGAAATCGGGAATTATAAAACACAATTAAACTAATAATTTGCCTATATAGTCTTAGCATCAAGGATGAAGCGACAACGCTGACTGACGATAAAGCCATTGCTGCTGCTGCCATCCACGGTTGAATAATAAAACCCCAAGGCATGAAAACACCTAAAATGATAATAAATAACAAGCTATATCCTCTTAAGGACTTAAGCATCAAATTTATCAGCGTGATGAGGATCGCTAAACTAAAATTGGATTCGACGACTGGTTAGAAATAAAATATAGAAATTGCGCACTCAAATAAACACCTTTTGATAATTTCCAAATTTAAAACCTGACGGAATCTTTAAAACCAAACTAAATCCGACGTTTTTTTTAATTCACCTCTATTATCTTTCTTTCTTTTGTCCCTTTCAGTTTATCATACCCTTTTGTTCTTTTCGCTCATTACATCTTTTCATTCTCCAATGATTTTTTAGTCATATGAAAACGTATGGTTGAAGGACAACAACTTTTTAACAATTTTTCAAGAAAGCTACTTCAGCTGGACTATAAGCTGAACTGCGTTATTTCTATGAAGACAAAAAACTGAATCTGCAGAAGGAAAACTAACCGGCTGCGATAGGGATTCCAATAACATTGTATAACACAGCAAACAAAAAATTAAGTTGTATACGACGTGTCGTCCTTTTCGATAAATCAATCGCTGCTACCACATCAATAAGATCATTCTGAATAACAATGACATAAATATGAAGGCAATTAGCATTTTTCCCAAAATTACTATCCCGCTCTTTCTAATTCAAAGTATGGCAAATGCAACAATAAGTACGAATAAAAATTAGAAGTATATCTAATTCATAGATAATGAATGAGACTCAATCGACATCTTGCCCTAGAGTACAATATAATTAAAGAAACTTCACTTTTACTAGAACGATATTTGCACTTTCGATTGCAACATCTGAACCAGCTGCAATTGCAATGCCAACATCAGCACTAGCCAAAGCTGGACTGTCATTTATTCCATCACCAACCATCGCTACCCGCTCTTTTACTTCCTATAACGGAGGATGAGAAAAGCTAGATGAAAAGGCGTTTGATGTTTACGGTATTTAGTATAAAATATACATTAATGTCAAGTCATTTCAATTAAGTAATAGAAAATCATCACCTTTCCAAAAGTTAATATATAAGCCACAAAACAAAAATATTAAATTATGTGGAGGCAAAGAAAGAAAGCTATATCAACATGAAAGATAACATTGAAAAGGTACTTCAGCGGTAGGAAACCTTTAAGTTGAAATAAATGTGAATTCCCAAGATAGTTAATACAACACAACATAATAACACTCGAAGCACCAAAACTTGTTTCAGAAAACAATATTAGATTATTAGAATTTTTTTGGTTAAGATTATTAGAATTCTTTATTCGCAACAAAATTTATTTTTACTTGCAGTTTTTAAATTCAATGTCATGAAAGCGTTTATAAAATACCTGTAACTGTTCAATTTTAATTCGCTTCTGATTCGGTAAAACTTCGGCAAACACCTCACGGATACCAACTTGTCTAGCGGTTGCTTCTGCAGTACGAGCATTATCACCCGTTAAGAGGATTACTCTGATATTCATACGCTGCAGAGCCCAAACAGCAAGAGCACACTCATTCTTCACTATATCTGCTATACTAATCGTCGCAACAAGATAACCTAAAATATGGAAGAGACATTAAATGCGCTTTATCTTAACTTCAATATTAATGAATCGCTGTAATGTCCTTCACCTATGTCCGCGTCTTAATACGTATTTCCATGACAGTTGCTTAAGAATTACCTACCCTTATTTATTTCACCTATTCTACATTGGTTGAAAATCATGAATTCCATTAATCATAAATATTTCCTCACCATTTATTGCACACATAACGGATATGTGCCCAGCTGCCTGCTCTTCCTTAATGAGATTTCCAACATACTCATCAATCGGAACTGCATTTTTAATCATCCATCGTTCGTTACCGATTACAACTCGAAGTGGCTCATTATCATTAAATAAAACCTCGTGAGTACCTATAAAAAATCATACTCATCTAATTTTTTGTCGTTAACAATGACCACGAAGTAGAATTTAAAGTTACAAAATTCAGATGACAATAATTGTAGCGGATATTATCTGTCAAAGAGAAATACAATTAGTACGTATAACTTCATATATTATTACAATATGCTGCATCACTTGGAAGAATTAGAAAAACCCTTTACTTTTTCCTGCCTGCGGCAATATATAAAGACATTCATTACAAATGTTTGGAAATTTTCGACTATAATCATAGTGTGGCATTTCGTATGGGAACTACCTCTAAAAAAGTAAAAAATGGCAATAAGCAAAAGAATTTAAAGGAAATTATATCCTATAGCTTACCGTTCCTGATTAATGTGCCATTGTGTTCGTTCCTGATTAATGTGACATTACCACTATTTAATTTAATTATCGAGTCGATCTGAGATTCTTTTTTTCGCGTTGCACTAAGTAACATATCACCGATTTTCCGCACTTCACAAACAATCCCATTTCCAGCCGATGCATGAAATCGTCGAACAGTGGCCCATTCTTTCGTATTTAACCACTGTAAAATAAAAACATATAAATGAAGAGGAGCTATATGAAATGAAATATGGTATGAAAAGGAACTTCTAAAGATTTCGCTGAAATTTTATAATTTCTTTTCAAAACTTGATTTAGTTTCACTTACTTCTTTTACAAAAGAAGTAATTGAATTTGCAATAGGATGCTCGCTGTTTGATTCAGCCGAACCAATAGCAGCGAATAATTTCAGTAGCGACAAACGATTTTCCGAAATTAGCGTATGAATTACCACTACTCGTGGATGACCTTCAGTTAAGGTGCCAGTTTTGTCCATAACAACTGTCGTAATCTGAGAAAATGAAAAACTTCATTTTCACCTTTACATAATATTTTAAACTAGCTAAAAGCAAATACAAAATGTTTACAATGAAAAAAAAATCACTTTTGTTATTGGAAGTTCCGAATTTCATTTTTTGCTCAGGGCCATAAATTTATTCAATAGTTACTATAAACTTATATTTAGAAGAGGTTTCAGAAATAATTGCTGCTTACCTTATGAGCCATTTCCAATGGTTCTCCACCTTTAATAAGTATACCGTTAACAGCACCGATACCGGTACCAACCATTACTGCCGTCGGTGTCGCCAAGCCCAGTGAACAAGGACATGCTATTGCTAACACTGTGATGGCCGCTTCAAAAGCGCGCTTCAGTATGATCTCTATCTTTGTCCTTTTATTCTAAAAAAAAACAACACATCTTAATCGACAACTTTAGCTTAGATCTTAAACCTTCTTTAAAAACTCTATATCACCTGAGAATACACTTTTCCTCATAACATTTTACTCACTTTGATAGTTTTGAGTTTTGATAGTTACTATGCCTCGATTTCTAATGACGAGAAAAGTTTGATTAATGTGAGCATTTGGTGACAAGAACAACGTGATAATTAACAAGAGTTATAGTAAATCAAACGATAACATTAACTTCCAACGAACTGATATCAAAATTTCGGGTTCAAAATATTTGACACAAGCTCACGATTCATCATAATATGTTTAGATATTGCATGCATCTGAACAAAAAAAATCGCACCATATGCTCCATATCCAGAATACAGAAACCAACAAAAATCCAGGCAACAAGTGTTAATGTTGCTAAACCAATAACTACTGGTACAAAGAAGCCGGCTATTCGATCAGCTGTTTGCTGTATTGGCGCCTACAAGGAATGAAACTACAAAGTTAAAAATTAATAGTAATATTAGTCATCTAAAATGTAAAGAAAAAAATGGAACTACTATCAAGTATAAAACGAAAAATTTTAAGAGTTATAAAGAACGAACTTTAGAAGTTTGCGCTTCCTCAACCAAACGCACAATCTGCGCCAACGTTGTTTCCTGACCAACATGAGTCGCCTGTATCAACAGCGTTCCATGTTGGTTAACTGAACCACCTATTACTGTGCTCCCTGAAATGATACCGACCATCTGGGAAATTTGTTAAACATTGATACCTATCGTTTCAGCAGCAATAATAAGTAATAACTATTGCTTGAGCGACAACAACAATGAAATTTGCAACACATTGATTACCCAACTGCTAGGAGAATTTCACTCCCGTTAAAAGTTAATTATTACATTACAGTAGCTACATGTTTATAATACCTACTATTATATAGTAGGTTAAAATGTTGAAGTTTCATATAAGGTTTTCATAATTTCATTTCTTCAGATATCATGCTGGTTGGTATGTGAAAACACGCTCCGCAACATGCTAATCACACGAAATAAAATTAAAGCTATCACAACAAATTAAAAGTAAAACAGGAATGAAGGAGTTATGAAATTACCCTTTCTCTTGACAACAGGCATCGACTCTCCAGTTATAAATGATTCATCTGCTGCACTTTTGCCATCCACAACAGTTCCATCAGCTGGAATTTTGGCACCCGGAACAACTTTCAACAGATCTCCTCTTTGAACCTAGAAAAATTTCGAAAATTAAACAATAAATCATCACTTTTATTTACTTTAATTCAATACACAATCAAATATCTTCATGCATTTCCACATGTATGTTAAAATGAATAAACATTTTTTTCCAAATCAAACTAACCAATTCGACACCAATATTTTCCTCGGACAAAATACGTCCATCGTTATCTCGAGTTACTAACAATGCTTCTTTTGCTTGTAATGACATCAGTTTACTTAAAGCTTCCGATGTTTTACCCTTTGCCTTGTGCTCCAACCATCGACCTAACGATATGAAAGTTATAAGCATTGGAGTAACATCGAAAAATGTCATCGGACTACTTGGCCATCTGAAATAAGAGTGAACTTATGAAAATAAAAGCAAATAGCAACTGAAAATATAAAAATATGTAAACACATATGTCTGAGCAAGTGTAAATATCAGTGTAATATCTAAAAGATGGGATACTGTTTAATGCTAATCCATTATTTTGCATGTGGATACCCATGTGGCATCAAAAATTTCGATTATTTGCTTAAATTTAATAAAGTGTAAAAGTAGAGGTGATAGCTCCGAAAAATTATCACTAACTGTTTCTGACTATAGCAAACTTGAGACGCCAAAACATCAGACTGAAATTCAAAACTTAATACGGTCTTTTAATAACATTCTGTTTCGACAACACAACATCCTGTCATTCAGAAATTATTTTTGTAGTTTCTGTAAATATATACCTTAAAACAATAGCCATTAAAATAACACTTAAGGAATATAAATATGAAGTAGTAGTCGCAAGAACGACTAAAACATCCATATTCGCTGAACCATGCTTTACTGCCTTCCAGCTTTGCAAATAAAAGTATTTCCCACCAAATAACTAAAAAAAATTTAAAAAAATATTTGCAACAATACAACAACATACAGACATTAAAGTACGCTACTAAGAAAATCTAAGTGATCAAAGTAGAAAAAAGAAAAATAAGTATCAAAGTAGACTGGTATGAAGCAATTAACATTTATTGGCAGATGATATTTTTGTGGCTGCACGAAAATGCTGCAAATGGTGTAATTTTGAAAACTAAATTTTTTGTTAACTATTAAATGGTACCTGTACAGGTGTGCATAAAACAAACAAAATGAGATTATCCAAACTGAGTGCAGGAGTAAATACTGGTGTCTGCATCGTGGGATTCATTGGTGTATGGAGAAACCAATGAAAATAAATCATCACGCCCATCACCGGTATCCCAAACAGCAATGATACTAGTAGTGAAATCTTCCATCTGAAATAGAATTTCAATACAAAAGTATTTACATTATTACCATTATATTAATAGGCAGTGGAGAGTTTACTCAGAGTGATAGGTAAGCTAATCAGCTGAGGCATGACTATAACACAAATCGACTTTTTATAAGTAATAATAAACATTTTCAATTGTTAAAGCAGTAAAATTATAAATGTAAATATATAGCGCATATTCCCTTGAAAAGCTAACGTACTTTGCTACTTCGGTCGAGTGGTCGAGCCTTTTTAATCGTTCATCTTGACATGCAACTGTTGCCGAATATCCCAAATCCTGAACGATTTATCACAATTTAAGAAAGCAGTGATATAAAACATCATGAAGCTGAATTTTAGATCATTATCAATACAAGTCATCAACATGACCAAAGCTTCTTACCTCAATCACTTTGATAATATCACGTGGACCTATAAATGTAGGAGTGTATTCAATCTTTGCAGAAGATGTTGCTAATGAAACAGAGCACGATTCGATTCCCTTTCTAGCAGCGATGTGTGATTCAATTCGCTGCACGCAGATTCCTGCCGATAATCCGGTAATCTGAAATCGATAATTTCCTGGTGAGTGTAATCACTTGATATCATTTAAACGAGTGTTAACACGTCGGAGATTACATCGTTTTCTCATCGGAGAGCTGCTCACGAAAATACTGCTTCAAAATCATATCAGTCTAAAACCTAACAGTAAACGAAAATGCTTGAATTCGCTGCACATTTCCATTGTTATGACGTGAATTACAATTCATTTGTCGTTTACCGCATTAAGAAAACGATATAATTTAAGAAACTAAATCACAAAAAACTGAAAAACACCTCTAACAAATAAATGAATTCTGAATGCTATGATAAGCAAACTTTAATTAGGCGTACATCTATAGCTGTTAAATAAAATTAGAGATTTGATCGATTGCTGTCCTTAGGTCGTAAATGAACTTAATAATAAAGTGGATGGAAATAGGCCTAAGGAAAAGTTTCGGGTGATTTCTGATTGCTAATTATATTAGCGAACCTTAATATGAAAAATAATATCGAAACTACAATACAACTGAAATAAACAATCAGCAAAACAATAAAAAAAAATAATAATTAATAATTAAAAAAAAATAATTAATAACTAATATAATTAACTCAGTTTACATAGCACTTACTAGTAAATTTAACACAGAATAATTTCTAAATCCATCGTCGATAATCGCAGCTCGATATCCTAGCATGTTGATTTCATCAGCTATATGTTCGGCAGCGATTACCAGCGAATCATATACTACTTCCGCTTTTGATGACATCAAAGCTACGACTACAGAATGTACACCTGGAATTTCATATTTTTTAGAAATAGATAAGATTACTGTAAATCGAATTATTTCCTAATCTCTCCAAGATTAAAATCGTTAAAGTCATTTTTTTCGATTAAAATCAAAATTAGAAAGAAAATTATATTATAATATCGAACTGAACTGAGCTAGCCTTGGATCATGCTAGCAAACAGAAATTATGAGTTGAGACTTATTTTTCCAATTAATTTATTGAATAAACAAACTCAGAAATAACGAAACCTTTCAATTTTCCAATATTTCGTTCTATGTATGCAACGCATGAAGCGCATGTCATTCCTTCCACTGAAAACGTTCGCTTCTCAATGGAATCATCATTTACAGACTGGAATTTGGTTGTTCCTTTTCCAAGCTTCACGACGGATTCATCAACTTGACCTACGTCACCCTTCTTTTTAAACAAAACTGGTGGAGATGCATCAGTTAACTTTTCTCCGATGTAATCTGAAAAATAACGTTATTTGAGAAAGATAACTATGAAGACAAAATGTAAGTTCAAATAAGAATCCAACAAATTAAAATTCGAGTTTTCTTTTGAATAAGCAATCTTATCAACTTCTCATTTAAGAACAGACTACATTCTAGTATTCCAAGAAACAAATCTACATTACCTTGAGCGAGTTTTCGAATGTTTTTCTGCCTTAAGCATATTTTTTGCATGGATAATAAATAGCACATTAAAAAAAGTTATGTACCAATTCCTTTCGATGTTCGGTACAATTTTCGAAGTTTTCTGTGTAAATTATTCTCCGCTTAGTAATACCAAAAATATCTTTTAAAAAGGGACAGACTACACTGCCTTAAATTTGCAAATTTTTGATATAAAATTTTAAAAAAAGCAAAAAACCCTCAGTTCGAAGCAGTTGCGCATCGAAGCCCATATCGATGATCAGCTCAACAACCATTTGAACGCTCCATTTGGAGGTATCGTATACAATCCTTCCTTAAACAATTAAAAAAATCAAATCAAAACCAAAGAACAAAGTGAAAAAACAATTTAGGTAGAGGAAAAAAAGGAAAAGTATTAAATGCTTCATGAAATAATAGATTAGCTTGGCATCACCAAGTTTCCATCTCAAACACTCTCTCAAACTTCAGGATTAAGTGGGCTAAACTGTTCTTAATCTTTATTATTATCGAACGCCTAAAAAATTTATTCCCATTTCGAAAATCGCAACTAATAATGACTAGCCTTCAGATTTATTGAGCGAAACGGAAATTGATTTTATGCCGTCATTTCTTCCAATGGTCTCCTCGATATTATTTACACATGAATGACATGTCATTCCTTTGATTTCAATTATTGCTTCTCGGAATTTTGAGGTTATTAAACTTTTGTTCGAATCTTTTTCATTTCCTAAAAACAAAAATTTGAATTTTCCAAAAAAAAAAATTAGACTTCGAGGAAAAAGAACATAACCATAAAATATGAGATTAGAAAGCCAGTGAGAAAAGTGGTTACCGAAAGAAATAAATGACCAGCTAAAATATTTATAGGAATATGTGTGTGGAAATGAATTTTGTTAGAAATTTTCAAAGTAACCAAATTTTCTTAAATTATAACTATGGTGATGAGCTATGCGTAATATTCTATAATTTGGATAATAAATCAAAGATTATTTATCGTCTTTTTAAAATCGAACTGATTTTGACTTCTATATTAATTTTTTTCCACAAAAATTTATAAATAAGATTTATAGTGAGAATAATTTGATGAATTTTCTTATATTTCTTAAAATTTTTACTAAATAATAAAGAAAAAATTTGAACTACTAATATTAAGTTAAACAGAAACGCCATTGACCTCTTCCACACTTCATTTTATTAGTGGAATGAATATGATTGTTAAAATTTCCGCAATACCACCAATATTTCATTTCGATGAATCGAATTCAACAACTATTATAAAATTTAAACTTCGAATAATTTTTTAATGTTGATACTATCCCGGATGAGCAATTCTTATTACTAGCATTACTATGACATTCGACAAGCACCAGACATTATTATTTCAGAGTAATCTATTTTAAACAGAATTAAATTAAAATTCATATTATCTACGTTTCAGCCTACCAACTTTCATCCCATATGATCATTGCACCATGCTTATTTCAATTAAAATTCTGTTAGAGAAATTAAAATACTAAAATCTAAAAAGAACCTCTTCTGTCATCATTTGATACAACTGCCCCACAGATGTCTCCTGCCTCATGTAGCTTATCCTCAATATTATTGGCCAGTGAGTGAGATGCCATTCCTTTTATATCACTTATCAAAATTTCTTTATCTGTTTGTTGATTCAAAAAATTAATTAGTTCCATATTATCAACCATCTGAAAAAAGAAAAATGAATCATTAGTTACTTATAAATGATACTGTGAATATAAGTGATATTACATAACTAAATGATATCACGAGCGTAAGCAAACGAGTTTTTAAAATACCTTAAAAACGTTTGCAAGAATGAGAGTCCTGTAAGTTAGCAAAAAAAACTTTAAAAGCAATCTTAGACATTTATGGAATAGGACAATTACTGATTTGAACTTGCTTATACACGAAACATAAGGGAAATACTTACTGCATTAATTTCAATTAAATAAAAAACCGAAATTTTTAATTCGATTAGAAATGGGAATGATTAATTCAGCAAGATACCGACATCAACAACTCTCATACTCCACAGAACATAAATTTTCCATGAGAAGTTCAAAGCATTTTCTATTCTAAAATTAATTGCCGGCGGCAAATAACAACAGTAACAGCAAAACTACTTTGAAATGAAGAGGCGAAAAGAAGATTTAAAGCTGTAAGTTTCAATTTAAAATTACAAACTTCTTACTGAGTTATTAACCGAGAAATTAGAAGAAAGACAACAATACAAATGAGTTGTGAAAAAAAGAAAAGTTAGAATAGGAAAAAACAAGGACAGTTGAAAGTTTTAAATAGGATAATCACTATTACATATAGCTGTACAATCTTTCATAATTTTCTGCTAGTCGATTACTTATCATATTTATTTGCCATCTTATACATAGCCTCAGTAAGCTTTTAGTGAAAATGAAAATTGATCGATTAACATGAAGTTGCAGAATTTGAAAAATTTAAAGATATCAATCAATAACATACTAATCAGCAAAAGTTTCTTAGCAAAAGTTTTTGAAAAGTTCATGTTAAAGACCGGTTCAACATATAGCCCAAATAGCAAATGAAATGAAATGAAAAGAATGTAAAAGACATATGACGTCAATAATTACTTTTGCTGTCAACAGCTATTATAGCATAAATACTTGAATTTCAAGTTCTTTTTAGAGATGAAAAAGTGAACAAAAATGTGAAAATATTTTGTAATGAGAAATGTTTGGTATATCAATCGAAATCGTATACCTTTTTCTTCTTCACCAAATTCTTTTCTTGCCAGCTATTTCACTTCTAATTGTTATTTGAATTAAATACTTGAAAAATTAAACATATTAAATTATAAGCAATTGCTATAAAAATTATTTATTTATTCAAGTGGAAAAAAAAAAACGACGATATATGAAGTCCTGAATATTACTAGAAAGTGCTATCCATTGTAAGTATTGTTTCGACGTCGTTTTTTTAATGACGCTAATAACAGAAAGTATTTCCAGTAATCATTTATCACCATTCAAAATGGTAAATCATAGAGTTACTACATTGCGGAAAAACTACTAGCGATTAATGATACTATCAATTTTTCGAGCAATTAATAAAATTTCGGTTTCCACAAAGAACTGAGGGAAACAATTTTTTTTTCCGCTTTTGATAAGGAAAACAGAAAGAGGAAGAGTAGATAAAGGATCTAAGGAAGATAAAGAGAGAAGAAAAAGTACTGATCAAAGAAAAATTGCTGCTTCTTTTTAAATTCTAAAAAGGCTGCCAATAAAAGGAGAGCTTGAAATCACGAGAATTTTCAAAAGGGCCGCAAGAATTACGTTATATTTAACCGGACCGCCTTACGTTCTATGCATAGTTGTATCCTAGGTTTTTTATTTGGTGTTTTGTGATAGAAGATTGCAGCAGGGATTCTCCCGAGATTTCATAGCCACTGCGCTGCGTTACTGTAAGAATTGCGTAAACCGCTATGCTCATCATCGATTAACGGCAACTGGTTGGAGTATCCGGATGACGAGTGGTATTTATAGTGCTAATTTGCAGCAAAATTTATTGTTTGATAATGCCGTCAGTCAAGTATGCCTTTTTTAAGTCAGAAATATTATGCTAAAATTCTTGCTTCTAAAAAGTCACATATTAGACTACAGTATTTTAGATTTAAAAATTTTGTATCACGTACAAGAATTTTTAGCTGAGTGAAATTTTGGAACTAGATAACTCATGTAATGCAATATTTATCTCGAAGAATTCATTACCTTATAGAATTCATTATCAAAGAAGATGAAATTGATTTACGATTTATGACGGATGTTACACTAAACTGCAATATTCCAAAAGGCAAAAAACCATTCGTTGGTGATTGGGGAAAATTTTCGAATAACCGAATTTATGCATACGACTGTCTCGTAGTTAGATGTTATGGGCGGGTGTTTGTATGTTAAAAACTGATTATTGTGATCGCATTTCAAGTTGCTATGACCGGATAATACCACTGAATTAGATTTAAGACAGCCTGCAAGAAAAAATTGGGAATTTTCCGATAGATTGCAACGATTTCATATCCACAGATAATTTAAGAAAATAGCGGAGTCAGATTCTTTTTTGACCAAATCTTAAGGAACAGAGTTATCTCTATTTGTTTCAATTTAATTCTGACTTCCATAAATTTTCAACTGATTTTGCGGAAGGAATTTTAATGATTCTTGAAAAAACAAACAATTTTAATGCCAAAATTATGGTTTGTAAACTAAATTACTGGTATTTTCTTTTTATTCCTTCAGTTTGACCAAGCAAAGATGAATGATTCACGAAGTACTACCGAAGAAGGATCAATAAATGATGATGAGCATATCTATGCAAATGTTCAAGAAATGGAAGAGGAAAGTCGACGACAAGGGAAGCCTCCCATTCCGGGTTCCACCGATGAAGCGATTCGCGATGTCGGAAGCGGGTGGTACGAATATCTCACAGACGCCGGAAGGTTTGACATTCTCGCAAACTGTACTTGAAAAGATTAAAAATTTTATAAACAAGCCTGCGGAAGTAGTTCTGAAAAGTATTGTTGTTGATCTGACAGATCAAGAAACACTGAAGCACGTTGATAAAATGAAGTTAAGATCTAGGATGAGTTACCAGAGTTTGAGATGAAAACCTTCCAAAATTTATTTTGTTTTCTTGCAGATCTTATTTTTACAATCATGAAACGGGTGATTGCCACTGGAAACCACCACGCTTTTTGAAACCGCCTATGGAAGTTATCAGTATGTTAAATGGTTTGAGCAATCAGCATAATATCCCCTCGCAAAGTGAAGCGGAATCGGGAGATGATGTTTCTGCGTCGTGCTCGGAATCTCATTCGACTATATCTGCTGTTTGTTTCGTGAGTGCTTGCTGACTGTAGCATAACATCATGCATTTCACCTGTAGTTCAGGCAACAGTTATTGTTAGAGTGCAAGCAAATAGTGAGATTTATCCGTAACAGATTATTGTCCACCGAACGAGCATGTGATAATCTCGAAATGTTTATATAGCTGTGATTCTAAGAAATCTAAGATAGCTGTACTGCATGTTTGATTCTTCATGTGAAACTTCCAAAACAGTTTCTCATGAAAACCAGGATAGAATTTTGATAGATTTTATGTAACTTTAGTTGAAACTAAAAGAATTTTGCTATTTAGGCAAAGCCGGATGATAGTATCAGCGGTGAAAACAGTAAATCAAGTGCTGTTTGGTCAACATTAAGCGTACGTAATAAAACCACGGAAAAACGAATGTCGGTGCAGACAATAGCTCAAGAACTTCAAGCTACTGGACACTTCCATTCGCATAAATCAAATGAGGAAATTGGTACTGATACAAGTTTTCATTTAAGTAAATATGGTACAAGTTTTCATTTAAGTAAACATTTAAGTAATAATTTAAATTAAGTAAGTTTTAAAAATCCGGTAGGAATTTCATATTGACAAAATTCGAACTGAGAAGTTGCACAATCCTTTTTTTCTAATACGGTAAGCTGTACACTATTTTCTGAAACAGTTTGCCATGGCTTATGTTATTCGCTAGACCATTATACAGATTCTCATCCGGTTTGTGAATTTTATCTGCTTCTCTTAGTGCTTGATGCTTTCTTTTTTTGAGGTGAAAGTTCATTCTCATTTTGCAGTTCCTAAAACTGTTGGCAGTGAACCATTTTCCAGCAATTATCCTAATCGCTTACCTTCCAGAAACATTACACATAAATCAATCAAATGTGGAACATTGGAAAAGGTTTGTATTGAAGACTGAACTTGATGTTTAACATTTGAAATGTTTAGCATTAATATTCTAAGGCTACAAATGAATTTATCACTATATTAAGGAATAGTGCTCCTGCTTAGAGACGACGTCGATTTTTATTTTAGTGTGTAGTGTACTCTACTAATTTCAACCTGGACAGTTGATCACAGGGGTAGGAGCAGCATTGATCAATATTAAAGCACATTTAAATATCTCAAAAACTTTAAATAAGTTGAAGAGGTATTATTGCATGGCAAAAATTGAATGTTCCAAGTCATCCGCAAGACGGATAATTTTACTTTTCGGAATGTTATTTTTTTCTCCATATGTAATCATACTACAGCCATCGGCTCAAGAGCAGCATCCTATCCCGCAACACTTAACCAATTCCATTCTACCAGATCATTAAATTATTGAGGTTAATTTAATGATCTGGTAGAATGGAATTGATTAAGTGTTGCTATTTTTCTATTCAGATTGTTGGATATCATTATGTGTATCACCAATCCACCACTTTTTCCTTATTTTTCGTTTCCCCTTTTCTCTATCCGCTTTTTAAATGATGCTTTTCTACTTTATGCGAACCAAGCGAATTTTTCAGTGTAAAGTGGCAGATGCAGGAGTAAGACTAAAAAAGAAAGAATGGATAACTTGTTATCTTTTTCTTTCATCTGCTCATATCATATTTTATAAAGATGAACGGAGTGCTGAGGTAAGTTTTGCTATTAAACAAATGTTAGACCTTTAAATGTACAACTAAACTCTTAAAAACATTTGCGTAACGTGAAATGGTTTCATTGAAATCATTTTACAGAAATCAGGTCGTCATTATGAGGCACCGCTGGGAATGTGCGATCTTCGAGGAGCAACCTTAAAATGGGCGGATGAAAAAGATAAACGTAGGAAACATGTTTTTCAGGTAAGTATGTATGGTTTATCTTCCGTCAGGCCGCTTTCATTTTTGTCATGTTTTACAAAACACTATGTATTCGAATATCAGTTCGGTTCTTATTTCTCCCGGCAAAATTGTTCACTGTGAAGTAAAATTAATCCGTTTTAGCGGGCTGATATTTTATCGCTGATGACTTAAAATTTTACGACGTCACAAGTCAAGTAATTATATGACATTGCAGCTGGAACTAACGGATGGTACGATTTATTATTTTAGTACATCGAACACTCAGGATGTGAATGGATGGTTCCATGCAATGCGCCAGGTTGTTTCAAAATTGGTATGTCCAATGTTTTATTGAAATTGATTTTTTTTTTTCACTTCACTGTCTTGCACATCTCTTATAGAACAATGTATTATTACTATATCGAACTAAGAGTAATTAAATTAATGGATACTGCTCTCATTATGATGTTCCGTTTTGCTGAATGCCCAAATTGAGTTTCTATAATCTTGATTCCAATTCTAATATAAATTTAAAAAACGTTTGGTAAATATAACTACTGAAAGTTTCATTATTTATGGTTGATAGAATGTTATCTAGCCACGTCCTGATGCGTATCCAACACCTGTGTTGGAGAGAGGATTAATCACTGCTGGTTTAATGCGAAATCCAAGCAATTTGTCATATTCCTCAAGATCGCTTAGTATTGGTCAAGCACGGCGCTCTTTTAAGAAATCGAAAGTCTCGGGAGAAGGTTATGTTTTTGCGCTTATTAAAAGATTGAAACTTCCTGAGGAAATGTTTTCACACACAGATAGCTTTTTTTGCTCATTTTATGCTACCCTTTTAGGTTCAGAGATTGCAGTAACGGGCGATGAGAAAAAGCGTGCTGATATTGAAGAGGCAAGGCTGACGCGTGAGTCTATTATTGAGAAATTAAAACGGTTTTTCCGATCGAGACCATCTATAGAAAGCCTGAAAGAAAAGGGGATATACAAACGTTAGTTTTCCAGTTTTATTTATATTTTGATTTTCTTTGTTTCTGTGACTTGTATGTGAGTTTGAAGTTGTAAGTGATGATCTGTTCTTGGAATTATAAAACAACCAAGCACAATAATACAATCTGTATTATACTCAGCAAACGAACAAATTCTATGTCACCTTATTTTCGCTGGACCGTATACTAACCACCTGACCAATGGATGTAGTTTTAAAATGGCCATATGAATTACGAAAAGGGTACGAAAGTACAGAAATAGGAGAAATTATTGTCTTCATTCTACCAGTGATCATATGTAAATGACATCAAAACTCTGTATATGATTGATGTATTGATAATAATGGGTAAATGGTGATCGCAGAGCCAGTGAGCCAGTGTTACTGTAAATTTTAAACGTTTTGAAGTGTAAGCGACAAAATTTATGGCATTTAAAAAATGTATTAATGTTAAAAAGCTTCTTAAATTACATTTTACAGCGGAACCCGTTTTTGGAAGTACGTTAGCCGCAATTTGCCACCATGAGCAGACGACAGTTCCACGTTTTATCCAATTGGTTACAGAAGTAATCGAATCAAAAGGTCTTGATACAGACGGTCTTTATCGAGTTAGTGGCAATCTTTCATCAATTCAAAGAATTCGGTGTCAAGTTGATCAAGGTATAAATTCAGTACAGTTTTCATCAGTCCCTAAAAATATTACGGCTATTCCTTCATCCAACATCTTTTACATATAGGTATAAGCTAGTTTCACTTTCTTTGAGGAATCTTAGAGTATTAACTATTTTAATTCATATGAGGATAAAGTTACAAATAATATGAAAGGTTTTTTTTGCTTCACATGAAGCTCCAGGAATATGTTCTGCATTGTTTAAGTGTTGCTGTATGATTGTTTCCCTGCATCATTAAATGTTCGGGGAATGACTTGATGAGAATACATCATCAAGCATTAAATTTCAGAGAAATATATTGCTTTGCTAGCAGAAGATGATGTCCATGTTTTAACAGGAGCTTTAAAACTGTTCTTTCGCGAATTATCTGAGCCAATTTTCCCATCTAATCTGGCGAAGGATTTCATTTATGCCAACCGTAAGTGATTTATTGCATTCATCTATTGCTCATTTTCCATTTACTACCATTTTTTATTAATTTCATGATCAATCAATTGTGAAATTCAGGGTTGCCTAAAGGGGAAGGAAAATTAAAAGCATTTGACGATTTATTAAATAAACTACCACTGGTCAATCGAGAAACGCTCAAAGTTTTATTTGGGCATCTGATACGGTTAGTTGAGTTTTTTTCAGCAAAATATAAATTGAAATGATTTACGGCCTTCTTCATTTTATATGTTAATATATTTATAGCATATACATTCCGTGACTTAAAACTTCATTTGTTAACCCAAAGTGTCGGAAAATTCATTCAGAATTTGCAATGCAATCGCATCATTCATTAATGTGGTTATAGCGTTTTCACATGTTTTTTTAAACATTCCGACATTTTCAGCGTTTCAAATCATGCAGATAAGAATCGGATGGAAATCCACAATTTGGCAATCATGTTCGGTCCATCTCTCTTCAGCAGTGGTACTAACGAGATCAGTAGTGATAGCAAAAAGGGAGGTAATTCGAAAAAAGGGAAAGCTACTAATAAGAAGTTGAAAGAAAAACCAACCGGTGTGCAAAGCAATTCTCATCTTGCCTACAGTATGATTATGCAAGGACAAACAGTGGAATATCTTTTAAAGGAATTCAAACGATTTCCATCATTGCAGTCTCAGCAGCAATCTTCTGTATCTCGTAGGTAGTCTTGATTTATATTGTGCCTTGGTTTTCTATCATTCTTTACTAAAAATTTAAACATTTTAAGGAAGTGGATACTAAGTAATTTACTTTGTTAGCTGTTTTCAGATGTTTCACATTTCCGTCTTTAGGAATTCGACACATATTTCCTGCAGTTTTCTTTAGAAGATGGAAGTAAATGATGGGTTTTCAATAAAGGAAATTCCATTGTTGTGTATGAAATTTTAAAATTAGAAAAAATCTCTGAATGAATTAAAAATGGATTCTTCATAAATTTATTCCAAAAATTATCACGACCTAAATAGTAAAGATGATGAGCTTTTCATTTTGTTGCCTTTCATAATCATTTCACCTCTCATTTCCTTTTTGTGATTTCATTACTTTTCTCTTGAAATATCAAATTTAGCTGGGACATTTTTTATGCATATTTTGTCGCGGTGAGTTATAATCTTTCTGGGTTATTTGTACATAATCATTCGGTGTATATTTTTTTAAAGTACAGAATTATTATTTAATATGTACCATTTTAATAGTACTTGTTTGTAGTTCTTTAGTCATTACGCGATCTTTGCTTAACCTTTATATAAATGGTTGATTTTTTTATAGTATTTATTTTAGATACTTATTTCCACTGCATTCCAACTTTTTGTTTACCATTCTGTCATTAGACATTCGATACATTTATTTTCAAGTTATATTCCATGAATTTGCCTTTCGTACAACTCCATATGACAATTTCAAGAAAATTCCATTCAGGAAAGTCGCAGGAGAGTATTATGTAAAGATACATTGATTTGCAATTGAAACTGATTTTGTCATGCTATTCTTCATTCTTAGTTTGGAGAGATTCCTCTCCTCCTGCGCTACTCTTCTTCCCTTCCTTCCATTTCCGGGAAAATTTATAATCGAATGAGATAGAATAGAAAGATTAAAAGGGTGAAGGAGTATCTTCTGAAAACGTTTTAAGACTTTCGTAATTTTTTTTCGTAGTATTCATTGGAATTTATATTATTTCAGAATTAGAGGAAAGATTTCATCTAGTCAAATTAATAGCGCAATTTTCAGTCACTTAGTACAGTACGTCTTTCGATTCCTGAGTCCTACGTAGTATTCTGTTGACAATGCTAAATTTAATTGAATTTTCTTAGAGTTTAAATTTCCTGTTTTATTCTCTCTGTATCATATCAATTCAGTTGCATTTTGTTTTTGTTGTTGGAAATGGTTGTGATAGCAAAAAAAAAAAGGTATGCTTTATGGATTAATGAATGATTGATTGGTCCCGCATGCTTATTTTATTTTTGCTTGAATTTCAAACTCAGTTAATATTTATGAATGATTTCGTTGCGTATTTGAATTTAAATACGCAATTGCAATATTTCTTTTTTATCGCAAATTATTTAATATTTTTAAATTAGGCATTTCATGCTTCATTTCGAGTTATTTCGCCTTGTTAATGTTTTGGGTTTCAACACTTATTCCTTTATTCCTTTTTTCTCTACAATTTCCCCGGCGACAATTTTTCTTCTTTCTTCCGTTGTTCAGTTATTTGTCAGATTTCCTTAGGAAAAATAAAATTTTCAAATAAAATATTTTACACCGTTTAAATACAACTGATTTGAATTGAACGTTTGAATACAACTGATTGGTCATTGTACTGTTTATTTGCAATGATTGCACGGTAATTCAAATATATTGGAATAATTAAAGGCAGGAAAGATGTTTAAAGTGAGTAGAAAGAATAGTCATTGAAAATGCTTTTTTGGGAAAATTAAATCGAAATTTTAAAGATTTATTTCATGCTATTGAAGCAATGCTAATTGGACGTCATTAAATTATGAAGAAAAAACATTTTGAATGGTTCCTATCGCAAATTGAGTCATTTCAAAATTTTAAAATTCAATTGGAGCAGTATTCAACGAGTGTTGAACTTGCAGGTAAGCATCCCTTAATCACCTACCTTTGATATATCATACATCACGAATTAAAGAAGTAAATAGATTCTAATAAATGATTAAGGGATTGATATTCTATAGGATTGATATTCCTTAAGAGAGCTTTCTGCTCAGCGAATAGTTATATCTATTGACATACTGATTCATAACAAAACCCAAAATACGGTCTTGAGCGATGGTATATTATGTTTACCACACTTCATAAATAGTGCTGCAAGATTTACGCGCTTCCAGTCTCTTTCCAAGGTCATTCTCAGAGTTCATTTCTTTCTACGTTGTTCCTGTTTTATCACATCCATAGTAAACGAAAGCTCATAAGCATAGTAGTAATTGCAAATATTTTCACTAGTCAGATCTCTAATTAACAGTAGTGAGGGATCGTAAAAGACTTTCATAAGACATTTTTATTAGTTTTAGTTGATTAACTTTATAAGCTAAATTGTGATTAACCGAAGCTAGCGAGAATGTTTTTTTTTCACTTCAGAAGCAATATTGAATGTAATCGCAGAGGACGGCTGTATTGACGGTTGCACTGTGGCGGATTTGGGTTGTGGCCCTGGTATACTGCTTCTGGGAGCAGTTAAACTCGGTGCAAGGTAGGTATGTAAAAATCTAAGAAGCTGATTACATACAACATAAGATGCAAAGAAATCGTAGAAATATCTCAAACTCTAATCTTGAAAATAAAAGAATATTATAAGGAAAAATACAATTTAGACATTTTCAGTTATGGGTTAGGTGTTGAAATTGATGAAGAAGCAATCGGAATTTGTCAAAGTAATATTGAACGTTATGATTTGGGAAGCAGTGTTGATGTGATTTGCTTGGATGTTACGAAAAATATCAGTGCTTTAAAGCCCATATTTGATACTGTTATCATGAATCCACCGTTTGGTACAAAAAATAATGCAGGTAATTCTTCTATTTACAAGTTAAATACATTGTTTTACTATGATCATTGTTGCTAGAGGTCAACAGGATGGGCCTTCCGTTGGGGGCAGTTATACTATACACCGAGTTTAGTCCAAAATCAATTTTCCAAGAAAAAGCAATGTAAGCCGTCCTTGTATTATGTATCTGATCGCAGTCATACATTCAAGTTTTCAAATTTCTTCATTCCACTTTTACTGCTAAGAGATTTATGAAAGTTTTCATTAAATGAAATGATTATTTTATTAATTACATGGCACAGTGCTTGCATTTTAAATTTTTTGCTATTAATGTACATTGCCATAAGCGTTGTATAGAGCCGAAGCTAACTTCCGAAAAGCTCATAGGAATATTGATGAGAAAGATGATTAAATGAAAACATTGGAATGAAATTTTGCAAATTCATAATTTCAGGCATAGATTTGCAATTTGTTAAAGCTGGTTTATCTATTCTAAAGGAAAGGGGAAAACTTTTCTCGTTGCATAAAAGTACCACAAGGCAGTACATTACTAAATTCGTCCTTCAAAAACTACCTGGTATCAATTCTGAATGCATTGCACAACTACGCTGGAATTTACCTGCAACATACGCCCATCACAAGCGGCAGTCCGTGGACATAGAAGTTGATTTGTGGCAGTTTTCCAAAACTAGTTCTCCAGATAGGTGATATTTGTTTTCTTTTCATACACTGTTGTTGAAATATCTGGAAGAGATAAGGCAGAGATTTTTCATGTCTCTTTCTGTTTTGTTCATAATATTTATTCATTGATATATACATATAAATTATAAATTTATAATGGATATCAGATCTGTAATAGGAAACACAATGTTATCATATGAACAACAAAATAATCAACAAAAAATTAACTTTATTCATCCTCTCTTTAAAGAAACACTTCGAAAGTAAATGAGAAATATGAAGTTTATATTGTAATTTTAAAATTTCGTTGGAATAATTTTTCACAACAATTTTCCCTGTTGTTACTTTAAGATCAGCAGATTGATTAGATTGAAATTAGCTGTAACTTCATGTTCATTAATGTGATCGATGAAAGAGATAATATAATTATTATGATCTAATTATATGTAAATCTTGCATATTTTCACAAGTTATGGTTGTTGCTATGAAATTATGAGGCGATATGCTTCCAGACCGACTGCTTTCTCGATCATTTTAATGCTTTTCAATCATGATATGCTTTGGCATCAGTACTATGTTCATTTTCATTTCCAGTTCTTCTTCTGCTAAACTTGATTGTTCCATTTGTATTTCTGCATGTGAGAGTTTTAGCTCTTTTCTTAAATTTTGACAATTTGGGGTTGTACTGAATTCACTGCTTACTGATGTAATTTCTGATAATTCTGGATGGCTAAGTTGTACATCCGTTCTTGGATATGATCCGATAGATTGTTCGAAATTAGTAAAGAACTCTCTGATTTTTTGATTTTTAGCAAACTTATACGGTAAGGATGATTCGAAATCGGTACTGCATCTTTTGGATTCTTCTGATATAGTGGATTTTTGAATTGTCAAAGGAATCGTTGAGTCAACTGATGCGCGTCTTCTTGACTGGTAACAATTTTGTCTTCGTTCTTGAGTTCCGGAACATGATTCCGATGTAAGTTTTTCAACACTAATCTCTTGTGAAAATCTTCTTGGTATGTTTTCTAACTTACGTGTTGGTGAAATCCCAGTGCCTCGTGTCGACTCCAAGTGGATTCTATGATTATTTCCATGAATTTGTGTGTTGTTCGAAAGAATCCTGGAGCTTCCTGTTGATTCCGAATAGATCTTGTTATTACTTGTGTGAGTTTGTATACTGTTCGTTCTTTCCGATTCTGATGGTGGCCATCTCCTGATATCATCGGTTAATTGTGCATGTGTCATTATCTTTGGTGTCCCATAAGCGAATTGCTGACTGCAAGGAAATATTGCTAAGATAATTTCAGCTTATTTAATTTATCGATTTCAAGATTTAGTGGTCAACTTTGCTTGCTTATAAATGAATTCCTTAGTTAGCAAGATAAATAGATAAATTTAAAAAGATACTCGGATTATGAAGACTTTAAAAAATTGAATCTTTTCCGATAGCAATTTGCAATCTTTGATTTTTCAAAAGGTTTTGTATTAACCTTGATTCCGAATTTTTATGATTATTTGATATTAAATTAATAAAATTTATATTAGGAAAACCTGACAGCATTCTAGTAGGTATCATCGTACCTGTAGGATGATGTCGGAACGATGTTCAGATAAGGTGGTATTTCGAAATCAGATGAATGTATCGAATTTGCATACGGATATTTGCTGCAAAATGTATCAATCACAGCAACAATTTCAGATTTCAAAACTATTTTGAATTAAGTGTACTTTCTTATAAGGATATTAAAATTAATAGAATTCTAGTTCAAAGAGCAATGATTACATTAGCACAAAAATGGAAGTGTTCATTTGTGAACACTCAATCAATCATTTGAAATCACTCAGCAAGATTACATCTTTTTCAATTTTGAGACAATTTAAGCTTTATTTTAAGTTTTGTAAAGTCTTTCAAAAAAAGCAATCAATCGGAAGCAAAGTTTAAATTTAGGTAGCTGCAAGGGCACTGAAGAAACTGGAAATTTTATATATTTCAGTTCAGTTTCATTATTAATAATAAATAGTTAACTTACTTCTGTCCTATATTTTCACTCGAATAGGAATTGATTGTTTTAGTGGATGATGACGATGATAGCGTATGACAGATTGGGAACGTTCGTGAAATGGAATCCAGTTGATGTTCAGGAAACATACGTGAAACAGAATTCGATTGATGAGTCGAAAACGTCTGTGAGACAGAATTCTGTTGAAGGGTTGAATTTCGCTGAGTACAATCATAATCATCATTCATGCTTTCATTATCATTCGGCATCGTATTACTTCTGGTCCAAGCATGAGTTAATCTTCGTCCTGTTGAAGAATTGTTGCCAATTCTGCTTTCCGATTCATCATCAGAATAACGTGTAATTTTGTTCCTACAAAAAATTTCTCTCATATTTCTTAGATGAAAGAAAAATGAATCAATGGATTAATTAACACTTGAAATTAAATTTAAATTGCAAAATTTTGATTCTCAATTATTCATTGTTGAATGAACTTATCATCTAATTAATTTGCTTATTTGCATGGGCGTAAAATAATTGAATACAATAATGAAATACAAAAATGTCTATAATGAAACAAAAAAATGGCTGCTTTTGAACTTCGCCCCTAAAATGATAAATTAAAATTTCACTTTCTAATTTCAAAAAGAACATAATGTATACGCAGCCATGCTTGTTGTTGTTCCATCAGAAGTAGTATCACTTTTTGTTGAAGTTATGGCGTTTGACGACGATACATCTGCAGATGATTCATCATTATCGACTATCGTATCAATTTTTATCACCATATCGTTCTTTCGATCTTTCTACAAAAGATAAATTGTTAATGTTTGCATTATTTTTCCATTTACGATCTTTCATTTGCCATGCAAAATTTTGCATAAAATGGCATTTTTGAAATGTAAAAATTAAAATTTCTAAAAATAATGTTAGAATCTCAAATGTAATTTTGGTAAGAAATGATTTAAAAGACGGCACTTAAATCTTCGATGAACTATAATTGTATAATTTGCAAATTTTGTAAATTTTAAAAACGTTCTCCATAAAACTTTTCTAAACTATTTCTAACATGATTTTATATCATTCAATTTACCGGCACTTCTGTATTTGAACGATAAGATGCTATTATTTTATCACTAAAATTTACTTACGATACGACATAAAATGAAATCAATTGTAAAAAAGAGAATATTTGAATATAATTGCAGTTTGTTTATTTTCCTTAAATAAGCCATTGTATTGAAAAATAGAGTATCAAACCTTGCAATTTTCCGGTTTCATATTTTGCTTTCGATTAGAAATATCATTTAGAGTTGTACGACTGCTACTGACAGATGAGTCTGATGAGTGATCATCATCATTAGTGCTTTCAGAAGTGGAAATTTTCGAACATGCTTGAATTTCTGTTTCGCTAAAACTACTACTATCCATATTATTAGCATGATTTTTCACTACCATTTGAGATCGTCTTTGAGTATTATCGACATATGTTGATGAGGATGATGATGATAATGATGACGGTATATTGAAATCAATAATTGAACGACCAGCATGTTTTCGGGAATCGCTGAAAAAGATATAATCGGTTGTATCATTTGAAATAATCATGATTTTAGGCTATATCATAATGTGTTTTCAGTTTTATCTGTTAATTAACACTTCTAAAATATTCTTGCTGAAAGGTTGGCTGTTTATTTTCTTATGATAGCCTAAAATGTTTTCTGATAAGTATCATATGATAGCAAAATATACTAAATAAGATATAACTATTTGAGAAATATATCATTTGAATATATTTCTCAAATAGTTGTATCTTTTTTACTTATCAGAAAACAGATATTGATATAATCATGATTTTAACCTATTATAATGTGTCATCATCTCAATGCATCTATTAGCTAACACATACCTGTATTCTGGTAAGTACCATGTTGTAGCAAAATATACCTATGGCATGCATTTTGACAAAAATTAAATTCAACACTTTTCAACAAATTATAGTAAATTTTATGATAAAAAAGCTATTAATCAAATATACATATATTCCAATTAATTTTCAGATATTATTAATTTATTTTTTATCGGTACTAATTGTTTTAAGGAAAATTTCAAACTTATTGCATTATCGTAGTTAATTAAATGAAGCATTAATAAAGTTTAAAAAATTTTAAATCATTCCAAAACTGAATTCAAAGAAAAAGGCGAAATAGCCAACACTTAATTACTAAAAAAATTTAAACAATTTATTTCCATTATCATACCTTCTCTTTCTTTTTTTATCAATATCATTTTTCAAACTACCATATGCCATTAAACCGATCAATGAGCTTAAATCCTGAATAATTTGCCTATCACTGATAGTTTCCACTGATTCTTGTTTTTCAGTGTTTTTCCACGAATTACTATTTGTAGTATCACTTGGAGTTTGATTTCTTAATCGATTCGACTTGTTGTTATCTTTCAACGAAATTGGATGATGATCAATCTGAATTATATATCCATTCCAATATATATCCATTCCAATACATATATTCATTCCAATATATCCATTCCAATTTAAACTTTCCCGTTTCAATTTTATAGCAAAATTAAAACTTTCAAGTAAATTTCATTCTCCTTTTCCACACAATAAATAATTAATTTTACGGCAATTTATGAAGTCATACTAAAAAAATTGTTAATATTATCTCTCAAAAATAATTTCTGAAATAAAATGAAAGAAAGAAAAGAAATAATTCTTCAACCTTCGAATTATTTTTAAATGATTTTTCTTTTTTTCCATTTATTTTTCTAAAAAAGTAATTTTCTTTAATGAAAGAGAAAAATTTTAAAAATTGAAAAATTCATTAATTAATAATTAATTAAATTTAAAAATTCGCATTTTTTAATTATAATAAATTTTATCATTTATATTAAGAAGATTTTGTCAAAGATGACATTGAAGGTATCATTTATATAAAGATGTCATCTATATTATCTATTTTTTTGCTTGCAATTAAAATTAAATTTCTTAAGTTGTAAGTGAAGAAACTTCGATACAGTAATATAAAAGTATTATTTTAAAAAATTATAATGTAAGCTAAATTTCAAATATTCCTTTAATGCCATCATCTTTGACAAAGTTTTCGTCGATGTTTGATTAAGATATACATTTTTAAAAGAAATAATAAAAATAATTTCAGTAAAACAATTAAATTGAAATTTTGTAACAAACGATAAAATCCATTTATGTTTTCGGGTAAATAGGAGGAATATTATAAAAGCAGCAACAGCCATTAAACTTGTCAAAATTATAATCCATGTCGACAAAGGACCGGAATTTGACGATGATACTATAAAATATTCATCATCTTTTCCACATGCTCTCATATTTATATACCGGAATTATTTCTCATCTTCGGTTATTCGATATGGCAGAAATATTTCTCTTTACAATTGATCAGTTTAGCAGAAATACGTCTTACAGGATTAGCAATTATTATATGTCATTCCGTTCTCTTCCTCATCCGTTTATTCAATTATTAAATTAAAAAAAAAAACGAACTTTGCAAATTAGTTTGATATGGAGTTGTTTGTTGTAACAAACCGAAATGCTAAAAGAGCAAAAGATATCGGAATGGAAAAAATGAAAATGAAATGAAATTAAAGGAATGAAATAATAATTAAGAAAATATTAAAACAATCGCTCGTTTATATCATAAATTCATTTTGAAAAAATATGCAAACATGTTGAAATTTTTGAAGTTCTTCACTTATATTTATTGTATAGCGGGATAAATTATATTTTAAAATTATATTTCAAATAAGCATTTTATTTCATTTTTAAATTATATTAAAAAAGCATAATAATAGATAGTCAAATTATAGCTTTTCGGCTAGTATTGTATAATTTGCAAAAATTTTCCAACTACTTTTTCAGCGATCTGTAATCACCGTAATTACTGTAACTTATGTCTGCTAGCTGATTGTAATTTGTATGAGATAATCATAAGATTATTCCTATCGCTAGCACCATAGATTATTATCATTCGGATATAATTTAAAAGTGAATAAAATAGTAGTGGAAAGAAAATGAGAAAACTAATTAGTACTCAAAAAAATTTAACTAAATAAATTAACGACTGAAAGGTAATAATTATAGAAGAAATATTTTTCATTATAAATTTAATTCCGTTTATTTTAAGCCATTAATTCAAATACGTAATTGGAAAATTTTTAATTAATCACTATTGAGTGAGTAAAGGGAAAACTTAAGTATAGTAATAATGGAATAGAAATTTTTTACTTCATCGATAATATTATTTGATTTCTGATAATTGTTAAACTAACATAATTGATTTTCATTTCTGTATTATTTTTCTGATTTATAAATGCTGGTCGAATTTGATTTCCAATTTGATTACGATTTGATTTCATTTCCTGCGCTTCATTCAATGATTGTTGTTCAGCTGTAATCATTTTGTTTATCAGTAAATATATGATCAGTTTTATTTAATTAATATCATCATCTTATCAGCATGACCTTTGACTTTTAGCATAAATAAAAAGAGCTTTAATGAAACTGAACTTGCTGATATAGTCTTTTTTAAGATATGTTAATTCAAAATTCATCCAAATTAAACCGTCTAAAATTTCCATCAACTTCTTCTAAAGTAATGTTAATTAGTACAAGAAAATTCTTTAATCGATCATAATATCAAAGCTTTAATGATAATATCAAATTGTTCAATGATGTTAATTTACCTCTGCTATATTTGTTATTTTTGTAAACGAAATCTGAATGTCGCATTTCCTTTCGCCGTTTCTCATTTCTCCTTCGTGCACCGCTTATTTCCTTATCATCCTTATCTATTACAGTTCAATTTGTTTTACTTCGATAATAAATCCACTATCATCATTACAACTGTTGTTATCATCATTATCATTATCAAAATAAACCTGCGTACGATAGCTTCAGCTTATCAATTCACTATCAATAAACTATTATTATTACCACTGTTGTTATCATCATTATCATTATCAAATTAAATCCTTTACTATAGATACAATTTGGCATTTTACTTTCTGTTATTTATTTGATTATCATTGTTTCTATTTTGTCGTTGATTAATTCTCGGATTTATTAGCTTACCAATTTTTTTGGCTGATTTAAATATTGTCCTCATTGGCTGTTCATTGAAATTATCATTGGTATGAGACAAATCATCATCGGTAGAAGAAGTTATCAAAACCTCTTTGCTTGCATTATCACTCTGATTTACCATCAATCTAGATGTGATAAATATGATAATTGATTGATTCCACTTTAATAGTCACCATTATTAATTATAAGATATCAATTTAATAGATGTCATTATTGATTATAAGATATATTGCAATGTATTCGTTGAATAACAAAATGATATTTAAAAAAGTTATAAAGGAATACATTAAAATTACCTCTTACTCTAAGATAAAGTAATTAGGATGAATTGTTTTATTAGAAGGAAAAAGAACTTAGAAAGCACAGCAAGTTTATATATTTAAATTTTAAATATAAAAAATGCATTAGTCATATAATTATAATTAAATGAACATAATTAAACAGTTAGTTCAAAACAATTGTTGCTTGATTTAAATTATATCATTACTAAGTAAGATCATTTTCTTTTGTTTTACTTCCTTTTTCAAATTATAATTTATTTCAAAGCTTCACACAATTAAATTTGTTAATTAAAAAAAATATTTAAAATACTTTTTGATGGAAATTTTTGATTCCACTGCTTCATTCATCCAATACCATTTGTTTTTCACATCGATCATATATATAACTCCGGTGAACGAATCATTGACAATTTTACTACCTTTATAATTTTTTATTTCGGAATTACATTATCATTCGATTAGATCAATTCTATTTCGTTTTTCAATTTCTGATTATTTCTTTTTCAATCCGCAAATTCGACAATACAAACAACGGAAATGGTATTTTTGATACACAACAATTATAGTAATCTCAACAATATTTTTCATATAGATTTTAGGAAATAGCAATTTTAAAAATAATTCCAAAATCAATTATATAAATTGAAAGAGTAAAAAAAGACTGATAGGAAAATTTTCTTAAATTTAATTGAAATTAGAAAATTTAAAAATGATTGAAAAAAAACAATAATCAATTAATTTCTCCTTTAAAAAAACAACCAAAATTAAATCGTTGCAGGATTAATTCCTTAAATATTAATATCAAATTTTTAATTAGAATTATTCGGCTCTTTCATTATCAGATTTTAATTTGATGTAATTTTAATTTAAAGAGGAAAGAACTTTAATAAACCTAATTGAATGATAACTTGCGCATTTGTCAAATATTTTCGAAAAGCATTAAGTGACATTGAACCTGCTATGCTATTTCTCAATTCTATTCGTATCGGAAATGCTTGTGCTGTAAAATTAATTAATTCGTCTTTTTGATTATTTGAAGAAATTTTTCTAATGATCAAAATGAGAGATTAATAATTCTTATCATTTAAAATTCCTAAACAATTTAATTTTAAAATACTAAATTTAATAGTTTGATGGAAATCAAACAAAGTTAACACTTTCTTAAGGCAAATTACAAATCTAAACTAAGGAGCTGAAAGATAAAATAGGCTAGCTAAAGTTTATTATGAGTCAGAAAAATCAGATTAGTCATTGCTTAAATAATATTAGCCAACGTGAATGAAACAAACCAGGTAAATTGGTTAATCTTTTTGATATTGGATGAATAAGATGTTTTGTTGCAACATCCGTATAACCGAAATCGACAAATCGTACCTTTAAAATATAATAAAATATTTCATATCGTATAAATTTACTGCTTAGAAAATATTATATTTAATGATGAAAGTTTAATTAATGCCCTTATAGGTCATATTTTTATTTGAAATTAAAAGGATTTTTGATATTAGATGAAACATTAATACTTATGGATCAAACATTATTACTTTAAATTCTTAAAGTATTAATGCTTGATCGATACCTTTCGTAATAAGTATACGATAGTTACCTAAACTCTGAATTAAAATCAAGGTGATATTATTGAAAAGTGTGAGTTAATCTTCATGCAACATATTTCTTGCATTGTATACAATTTTCTTAAATTCAACTTACAAGTATCAATGTTTGATCGATACGTTTCATAATAAGTGTACGATAGTTACCTACTACTATTTTATCATAATATATTTACCAGGAAAAAAACTCTGAATTAAAATCAAGGTGATATAATCGAAAAGTGTAAATTAATCTTCATACTTCATACAGCATATTTGTTACTTTATATATAATTTTCTTCAATTAAACTAACAAGTATTAATGTTTGATCGATACGTTTCATAATAAGTATACGATAGTATTCATTTTGTTGTTCATATTTTATAATTCCAACTGAGCCTTTAAAATTTCCAGCAGGATAATTATTTCATATCTTTTTATATTTATACGAAAGTTGAAATTATTTAATTAACAATTATGCTATTACTAAAAATAACAATTCTATAATGAAATATGAAATAATTATAATTTATAAAAATTTAAAACTTTAACATACTATTTAATTTGCTAGTATTCTTTTGTTTTATATTTTTTAAAAGATTGATGTAATTTTAATTTTATTTAAATTACCAGAGAGAGGATTTGATAATGATTTAGTGGTATGATATATTTGTTCCAATTGTTTTTGTAATTTTGATAGTATATGATAAGCATTTGGTAATTGTACATGAATTGTAGTCCAAGCTGTAAATAATGATTAATTTACAATTGTAATTAAATAATTTAATAAATTTTTGAATATTTATAAAAATTTTTCAAAAAAAAAAATTAATTAATTAGAAAAGAAAAAATTTACATTCAACATATGTAACAACGGCATCCAAATAATCATTAGTAGCAGCTGGTATGACTAATTTACCAAATTGTCCTTGTACAATTTCACTTTTTGCCGTATCTGGTAAACCTAAAATTATAGGCCTAGAAAAGAAAAGGAAAAAAAAGAACATATATCAGGAATCATTGAAGTGTTTAGTAAAAAATATATAAATATATGGCCTATCATTTCTAGCATTAAAATGAAAATTGTCAATTTCATTTAAAAACAAAGGCTCCGACAAAAATTTGACCTATAAAAAATTTCCGAATTAATAGTTAATAAAGAGATATCGAAAAAAACAAAAGAAAATAAATAAAATTACAAAATAAAAGAAAAAGAAATAAATTAATAAAAACAAAGAACTTGAAAATATTAATTTCAATAATTTCGCTTTCATATTTCCCGTGATAAACTCAAAAAAATATTACAAATTAAACCGTTCTGCCGTATAACCAACTATGCTAATACTAAAATTCAATTTTTATACAAAATAAATAGCCTGAAATTAAAAAGATTTCTCTTTTGCTATCTGAAAAATTATATAATATCGATTTTAGTAAAACAATAATAATAATAATAATAATAATATAAATTATAAAATAATATGAACTAATCGGAAAATATAAACTAATAATATATGATTTATTTTATATGCCAAAAATACAGTTTTAATTTCAAAATAATTTTAAATAATAGAAAGAATAAAGAAAAATTTCCTAAAATTCATTTCCAAAAAAAACAAAAAATCTAATGTTTCACAAAATTTCCGATAACTAATCGTTGTAATACTTTAACTATAATATTATTTTAACTATAATTAACTATAATTTATTAGATGAAATGATAATCATAAATTATTCTCTTCTTTTATCCATTTCATTTTTTTTAGGGAAGAAAATGAGATATATTATATAGATTGAATATTCCTTTAAGAGTAATTAGATATTCGAATATTTTTATTAAATATCTTTTTAAGAATAATTTAATTACAGCTGATATGATTGCACATATATGAGTAATCATAACAATTATCATAGTTTTTTATTTCATCTTTTTTAGGAGATAAATTAGACAATTTATATTTTTAATATTCTTTTAAGACGATTAGATATTAGAATATTTATATTGAATATTCTTTTACGAACATTTTAATTACAGCTGATATGATTGCGCATATATGAGTGATTATATCAAATATCATTTGATTAGAAACATTTTTGATAAAATTTTCAGATCTCTTACCTAATTTTAATTGATAAAAATTATGTTGTAGCACCATCAGATAATTAATTGTGTTGTATTTTAGAGAGAGCAAAATTTTGCAACAAACTGCAACAAAAATTTTGAATCACTTAAATTTAGTAAAATAATTTATTGATTGAATAAAAAATTCTCTTTTATAATTCGGTTAATGAGAGAATTTTTAATTAGGAATTTTTTAAATTCGAAATTTATTTTGCCCCTTTCATCTTCTCTCTTTCTTCATCATTCATTTTCACTTCTATGAAATAATCTTTTTCCAAAATCTCTATTCTTATGCTTCTCTCACATTTTAATTTCACAAAAAGAAAGCCTATTTTATCAAATTCAAAAACTTCAATTCACTTTTTTTTAAATTCAAAAATCAAAAAATTTTCGTTTTAATTTTTTCTCGGTTTACCTGAATTTATATGCCAATGAATTGCTCCGGTAATTTCTAGCGAATTCGAGAATTCCTCCGGTATTTTCTTGCGAATTCAAAGAACAATTATTAGGAACTAATTTATCATCTAATTTATAGTGAACTATCATTACATAATAAATTACTCCTAAAGTTCGTTTTTCCAATTCATCAAATACAACATGATGAGTTATTTGTGAAGAAACGGAAATCAAAAACCAACCGGACACTTTTTCTTCCCAACCTTAAACTGACACTAACTAATTACTGGTTTATCATATATTTTTCTGTTTAATTTCGTTTATCATTCGCCAATATGCAAATTTTTTTTCGTCAAAATATTTTTTAAATTTAGCATCAATTATTCCCCAAATTGAAAAATGCTGTTAACGATAAGGTGAGATGGACAGTTTTCACTTCAACTCACTAATTCTCAAATTACCCAATTAGGCTTCAAAATCTGAGCCAACTGTTTTCGAGAGGATTTGTTAAAGTTTCTTCTTATTCGGCTAGTTAACGGTGGTGGCTATGCGGCACTCCTAATAACAAATTCCGGAAATCGGTAGATCACTTAGGTAAATGTAGTAGTCTAATAGCAATGTAGAGCAAACCCTCATGAAATAGGATTCCTCTTATGAATTTAATTTCAGCCACTATCCATAAAATGTTGCATTTGAGCACTTTCAAAGAATTTTATTGCAAAAAAATTAATTATAAACATAATTAAACAAGCATATGTATATATAATCATATGCCTTCAAAACACCCGATTTGTAAAACAAAAAAAATTTGTGAAAATATGAGATATCAATTTGAAACCTGATTAATTTGAAATTAGATATCAACAGAAATTCATTATTTTGAGATTTTATTGTTATTGATAGAAATACAATTCACCGGATCACCGGAAGGTTCAAGTTTTCGTATTTCCTCAATTGGTTTTAGTAAACGTATAATTTTATGATTATCTTGTCCTTGATACAACATTTCACCCTCAAAATCGACCAGTTTATATTTTCGAGCTCGAATTAACATTCCAACCAACTATAATTGATGAATTGAGCAATGACAAATCAATTTGATGAAATTAAAATTTCAAAACATCATTTATCTTCTTCTGATATTTTATCCTATCCTTTTCTATGTCTTTTCTTTTCTCAGCCTATTTTCTTTAAACGTTTTTTATTTTATCTCTGTTTTTTTCATTTTGTTTTTCTCTGGATCTTATTTTCAATTTTTCTTGTAATTTTTCCTAATTTATTTCCAAAACAAATTCATATGAATTGATCAAATAAATAATACCATATGAGACTAATTAGTATTCTGAAAATAATTTCCATTGTATTAAACTGCATCGAATATTACGGGTTTAATTAACAGTATGAATATGTTTAGGATTTTAGATCTCAAAAAAGAAGCGTTTGAATTTTGCTGGATATATATTATTCATATTTGACATCGAAATATTTGATTATTTTAGAATTGATCTCTTTGAAATTTAAAGTCTTAATTATTGAAATTTAAAATCTTAATTATTTACTTTATATAAATTTAGGAATAATTTACTTTATCGGAATAATATGCATAGATGTTAAATAATGGACCAAATTCGATGATTCGATTTGGTGGTTCACCTTTTGCATGCGTATTTATTATTTCACATAAAAATATCACTTCACGCATTACATAATCACCTGAAAATTTTCACCAATTTCAAATATTAGTTCAGTAATAAAGTATTTTTAATTATTGTCTGAAATATTAATATGGTTGGGATCATATATTTCTAAATTATATTTTAAATTAAATAATCTTATTCATATTTCTCTTAAAAACAATAAATTATATTGAAAATTAAATATTCTTATTCATATTTCTTTTAAAACAAACCAGCTTTAATACCACGTGCTTCCGTTTTAGATCCATGCGTTGGTCGACCGTAATCTCCCGCACTTGTATTGTACTTAGGTGCAGTATACGTTGACGAAAATGGATTCCTACAAATTTCGTTTACACTTATAAACGAATGAAATTTCTGAAGTTAATAAAATGATAAATTGAACTGAATAGTATTTCAGATGAAATTGGTAAAGTAGAAAATAAACATGAAACATTTGTTTGCATTGATTTAATTAGTCAAAAATGTTGACTAATTTCAGAATCCTTTAGAAATTCTTATTTAGAATTTCAGAATCTTTTAGAAATTTTTTTCAGAGTTTCAGAATCATTTAGAAAAATAGTATCAGACAATTATGAATCTTCGTTAAAATTTTTCAAAATTTATTAAATTATTTGCAAATTATATATAATCGAAAAAAGTCAATGAATGAGAAAAATGTAAACTTTTAGAAGTTATAGCTTTTTGGATAGAAAAAAAGGATAAATAAATGTGATAAGCATACCTGTCAAGTTTTTCCTTTGTTTTATTAGCAATATTGTTGAACATTTTAATTGTGTCACGTGCACTTCTACCAATTACTCGTAAATTCGATTGATCGTTGCTGTATGATTTTTTTGAAATTTAAATTTGTATTTTTCTTGCTAACTTATTAGCTTTCAAATTGTTCATTCAAATATAACATATTTAAATTTATCACGAATTTAGAGAATATTTCAATTTTTAGAAAATTTTAGATAAAAAACTAAAGGAAATATTTCTTAGAATTATTCTATTAATTAGTTAGACGATAGTTTTTATATTTTTTTGATCGACCAAAAATAATTTAAAAAATTTTGTCAAAAATTGTTTTTACTTTTTAGAAATATGAATTACGGAATAACAAAAATTACCGATCAGAAGTATCAGAATTCTTCCTGCTTTCACTAATTTTTTCGGTAACATCAACAACAACAACATCATCCTCTTGCGATGGAATAGATTTATTGCGCATACTATGAATAAATTAAATATACATAAATTAAAAAAGATAAAACTTTTAAAAATTGAAATTTGAAAAAAAAATTTACGCTCAAAAAAAGCTACCTAAAAAAATTCTTATTTTATAGGAAAGAATACGTGCAAAAGAGCTATTTACGTGATTTATCAAAAAAGAAAGAGAATTGAAAATTTAAAAAAAAAAGCAAAGAATACGTGCAAAAAAGCTATTTACGTGATTTATCAGAAAAGAAAGAAAGAATTGAAAATTTTTTAAAAAAAAAGTATACTTCGTTTTTAATTTACTGGAATTATCCGTAGCTGAAGAAGCATTTCCATCATCCTTACTACTAAAGAGATTAATAGCGTCACGTGCAGTTTCACGTCTTCCAAGATTTCGTAGCTCCCAATTTCGCCTGATATTTGAACCATCCATGAAAATAAATTTTATAATGAATAAGATTTTAATAGAAGTTGTAGTAGTAATACTGAAAATGATTTAATATTACTTATTTAATTTATGTAATCGTTTAATTATTTTATGATATATGCTAAACATTCATTTTCTTCTGCTTCAATATTTTTAGATGATAAGTGATAAAAAAAGAACTCAAATTATCATCAATCATAAATCACAATAGTTTTCCGTATCTCTTTGAATACCTTTATATGTATTTAACCAAAAGAGAATTTTATTAATTTTTTCAATTACATAATAACCTCCTTTTTTATCAATCATCAATATCTTCCTTATTTTTTTCCATATTAAATCTAACAAGTTATGTTTAATTAAAATCAATTTAATGTTATTTTCAATTTGTGCAATATTTCCGTTTGCATTAGTAAAATTAAAAAAAGGTTATAAAATTTTTAAACCATTTCAAAAATTATTTTAATCACAAAAATTTCATCCGCTGTTTCGTGTTGCAGCAGTTTATTCAATTGATAGTAATTTATATTTTCTCTCTCTCTCTTAAAATATTATCAAAGATGAAAATGTTCAATATGATTAAATGCTATCATCCATTTTTAATTTTTGTAAAATTTACTACGTTAATCAAATTTTCTGCAAAAAAAATTAAAAATAAAAGAAGACGAAATTTTATAATTTCAAAAGCAAACTATTTTCTCTCAAGAGATTGTGATAATAGAAATGAAAGTATAGAAAGGTATAATTAATTGAAATTTAAAGTTTTACTTTTTTACATCCTGAAGTTAACATATCAATCATTTGGTAATATCAGCTGCAAAAAATTCAAGCAAATTTCAGTTATTTTGAATTATCGGTTATTTTCAAAGTTTTTATTAGCAAAACATGAAAAGTAACTAAAAAACAAATTTAAAGAAATTTCAATTAATTTCCCATTTTATTAGCAAAAACATAAAATGTAATTGAAAGAAAATTTGGCTAATTATTTACAGTAAATTTAAAACTAAAAAATTAATTTTCAAAATTCGTCAAACATAAAAAGTTTATATTTCATCAAATTTGATATTGTATAACATAAAAGATGTCATAAATTCGCCTAATTTGCATATATGCCTATGATGGTTTAATAACAATTATTATTTTATCAGTTTTGTGAAATCACCAATAAATCAAATATGATTACAGTTATTGTGTTCGTCGATCAAAAGATACGATCATATTAGCAAAAGATAAAAGGAGAAAAATATATATATTTTAATCCCTCTTCTCTTCTATTATCATTCCCCCGTGATATCTCAGAATATTTCTCCTAACAGTTACGAAAAAAATTAAACATAATCGATAATTTCATTTCATGCGTATAATTTGAAAATTTTGCTATAGTTGATAATTTCTCATAGCATTTCTGTTAAACACTACCGGTTAATATAACCCATTAGTAGAAAATAAGTTGTGAAAAGTTAAATTTAAACTTTAATTTTTCTTTTCTTTAACTAAGAAATAAAACTTGCATAATTTGCAATGATGTATTTTTGGTATAAGACCGAGAGATTTAGCTGTTTATGATAATTCCCTGTAGAATTTTAAAATAACTAAGAGATAGATGGAACTACTGATAACAAGAAGTGATATTTTATGTTAACTTCCCATAAAATAACTTTCATCTTTTCATTCTTTTTTTTCTACAACTTCAAAAAAGAAAAATTTTTCATATCACTTAAAATATGATAATGAAAAAAGGAATAATTAGAAATTGCAAAAAGAATTGATAATTAATTAAAAATTATTTAGTAAAAGGAAAATAAAGAAAAATAAGATTCATTTTTCGGCTTACTTTTGAGAATTGTTTACAGATGCATTATTGAATTTGCGAATATCATCAGCAACTGTATTCGATGATAATGGCGATACTTTGCTTGGCGGTATTGATAATCTATGCATAATATAAATACATTTATTATATTGTAGTTTTTATTAATGTGAAAAAGAAAGATGGAAAGTATTTGTAAAATTATTTTGATTATAATAAATTTGAAATTATAAATCTCTTCATTAACTTTTAGCGATTCAATTAACAAATTTGATTTAAAAAATTATGAATGATAAATTTGATAAATATAACAACTTCAATCGAAATGGTAATAGGAATAAAAGAAGCGAAAGAAATGATCATTATTGTGGTATTTTGAGCTTATGTCATTTCCGAAGCCGGAATGAAGGTTATATCAGGAATACAGTAGGAGTGAAGATTATATCAGGAATATAGCAGGAATAAAGATTATATCAGAAATACAGTAGGAATGAAGATTATATCAGGAGTACAGTAGGAATGAAGATTATATCAGGAATACAGCAGGAATGAAAATTATATCAGGAATACAGTAGGAACTTCCATAAGTTAAAATTACATTAAGCTTATATAACATTTCAATAATTAAAAATAAATTAACTCAAACTATCTTCCAATGCTATTTAACTGAGATAAGAAAAAAAAGGAACATAACTATTAAAAGTGATAAAACAAAAAATTTTAATAACTATTTCCTTTTTTCCTTAGCGCCTCAAATTTCATTTATTTTCCGAAAAATAATTCCTTTGGCAGAAATGAGAATGATTTGACAAAAATTGCACCGATCGTTAATACGTTATCGCTTGTCATCATAACGATTGACTTCACTATCGTTATTGTTTACTTTTTGCATTAGAGAGATTAAAAAAAAAGTTATCCGAAAATAAAAGCGGAAGAAGAATTAAGAACCGGAACATTTCATCCCTTAGAACAGGAATATTTCATCTGTTGGAACCGGAATATTTCATCACTTGGCTTTTTCAAATTTTTTTCAACAAAATATGACTTGTTGATGGAATCAATCCATTTCAACAAACATTTAAAATTCAATCACTCCTTTCTTTAGAGTTTGATATCTTAAGTGAAATTTATCAAAACATTCTCAGTTTTGATCGAGAATATCTATTTGAGTTACAGATCAAGAAAATACAACGTCTGTCAGGGAGAAAGAAAGATTGATACCTCCAAACAACCCCCCTCTCTCTCACTCTCTCTCTCCCCCTCTTTGTCTCCCTTTTTCATCTAATTAATCTTTTTATTAATTTACTATTAAATCATTCAAATTCTTTCTTTTCAAATTTTTATTTTAAAATTTCAAAAATCTAATAAAGATGAATTGATGACAGAAATCTTCTCAGATATTCGCAGGAATAAATTTTAATTAAAAAATAAAGTTATTTAATCGATCATTAAATGTTTCCTTTTTTTTTCATTTATCAACGATTTGCCGATATCAAGAGATAATGAATTAATTGTAATGATCATTAATTAATTATAGTAATAACAAATGATAATGAATTTAACAGATCTAGTAATAACTGAATAGTGCTTATGATAATAAGAGATAATGAACTGATTGTAATAACCAATTATAATAGTAATGACAAATGATAACGAATTAACAGACCTAAGATTTGATCAAATATTGGACATTATTTACGATATTAAGAGATAATGAACTAATTGTAGTAATCATTAACTGATTATAGTAATAACAAATGATAATAAATTTAACAGATCTAAAATTTGATCAAATATTGGATATTATTTGCGATATTAAGAGATAATGAATTGATTGTAATAATCATTAACGTATAGTAATGACAAATGATAATAAATTTAACAGAATTTGATCAAATATTGGATATTATTTGCGATATTAAAAGATTATGAACTGATTGTAATAATCATTAACTAATTATAGTAATAATAAATGATAACAAATTTAACAGATCTAAAATTTGATCAAGTAATTTGATCAAATCTATAATCTTATCATAATTATTAACTTGCAAAAAATATACAAATGTTACAAATAATTAGCAAAAAAAAATTTACAAATATTTAATGATAAATTAAAAATCAAATCGAAATAAAAACAATAAAAAAATTATGCAAAACTAACCGGCCGAATTTTTGCTTCATTTCATTTGTGGCGGTAATTTGAAGAAATTTACCATTATCATCACCGATCGGTTCAGTACCGCACGTCTGTTGCGCCAATCTCATCTTTTTGATGTTGCTATTGAGAAAGTTCTATTCTCAAACCGATTTATAAACATCTTCCTCTTCTTCCTCTAACACAACCAACGAAAACAATTATTTACGCTTAGCATGTGAATGCATGTATGTGTCTGTCTATATGTATGTGTGTATGTGTGTATGTGTGTATGTTTGTAAGCCTGTATAACTGTGTGTTTGTTCACATAAAAATGTATCATATTCATTTTCCACACTTTTTTTACTTCCTGATGAGTCTGTCAGCATATGTGTATATGTGTGTATATGTGTGTACATGTGTATGCACGTGTATGCATGTTTATGCACGTGTGTGCATGTATGTGCACGTATATGTATGTATGTGTATGTGTGTATGTATGTGTATGTGTATGTATGTCAAAGGTGCAAATATCTGCTAAGCGTAGATTTTTCAATAAAGGTGAAATATCTGCTAAGTAACGGATTTTTCTACACCTTTTCGTTGGGAAAGTTTTTTTGAATAGTTAGAAGACAAAGAAAGAAAAGTAAATGATAAAAAAAAGGAAGATGTGATAGAGTGATAAGAAAAAAATAAAGATTAGTGATAAGGGAAAAGAAAAAGAAGAAAGTTCATCCCAATCAATCAGTTATCAATTGTTAATGCCAAAAAAACGAAGCGAAACATATACATGTATGTAAGTATATAAGTATATAAGTATACAAGTATATAAGTATATAATTTCAATATAAATTAGCATATGAGTATATAATTTCAATATAATTAATTTTTTAGAGGAAAGACAAAAACAAAAGAATTTAAAAAAAAATTTCTACAATTTTTAACGAATCATTTCAATCACAGTTATTTGTGATGAATGAAAATATCGATTCATCCATAAATGTAATAATAAATATAACGATGTAAATTCGTTATAAGATATGTTTTGAGAATGAGAATTTGAAATAAAAAAATGATTCATAATTTGAAAACAAAATCATAAAATGAATTTGTTATTTGCAGTCGTGAAACAATGAATATTTCTGATATACTTTTATCTAAAAACGAAATATTTCAAAAAATAAAAATTATACATTAGCAACTATCATATATAGAAGACGTAACGAACGTTAAGAAACGTGACGAATGTTAAGAGACGTTAAGAAATGTAACGACGTTAAGAAATGTTAAGAAACGTAATGAATGTTAAGAGACGTTAAGAAACATAACGACGTTAAGAGACGTTAAGAAACATAACGATGTTAAGAGACGTTAAGAAATGTAACGACGTTGAGAGACATTAAGAAACGTAACGACGTCAAGAGACGTTAAGAAACGTAACGACATTAATGGACGTTAAGAAATGTAACGACGTTAAGAGACATTAAGAAACGTAACGATATTAAGGGACGTTAAGAAATATAACGACGTTAAGAGACGTTAAGAAACGTAACGGACGTCAAGAGTTGTTTTGCACATATGTTTATATAGTTTTGCATAGTAGCTAACCATTTTAAATTTTACATCATAAATGTTCACATTTCTATTAATCTAGTCTAATTTCAACAAAATTTACTATCACAAAAAATTTTTATAGCTTCCTTATGGGTCAAATGATAAATTTGTAATAATCACAAGTCTGATATGATATACTTTATATTATTACGCATCCAATAAAGTACCTTATTATTTGACCCATAAGAAAGCTCTAAAAATTTGCAAATAAAGTACTAACTTTAATACGTGTCCAATAAAATAGCTTATTATGCATACAATAAAATATCTTATTAAGCATCCAATAAAGTATCTGATTATGGGTCCAATAAGGTTCAAAAAATACCTTATACAAATTTTGTTAGAACGATTAAATGATACTTAACATAATCGTTACGATGCTCATAATATTCCTGTACTTAAATACTTAAAAGTAATATAAACTTTAAGGGGTAGTACTTGATTTTATTGTATTTCATTATTAATAATATCGATCTGGCGGTAATTCACGTATCACTGATTCAGACACTTAATGCTCTGTTAATATATGAACCATATGAATATTTGAGTATGAAGTGAGTCGTCGTATATCGGTTAATGCATTTCATACATTTGTTATCCATATATTTAAGTTAAGAGACATAATATTATAAGTAAAAATATCGGTTAGCATTGTCCTGATTCATAATTTGAAAATATAAAAAAATCAAATCTCGAATTTTTAAATCCCGAAAATTTCCTGAATTATTTATTTATTAAACTTCTAGAAATTTTAGATCCATTTCCAAACCTGATATGATTTTGAGTATCGGTAGTTAAAGTAGTTTTTTTATAAATTCTGAGTATCAAAAAAAGAAACGACCAAATGTTGCAATATTTACATTTATTTATATCCGATCTTTCTGAGAGAGAAGTAAAGAGAGAGAAATATTGAGAAAGATCGGAGACGTTAGTGGAAATGCCGAAATTTGCACAAATATAATATTGAACTTCATTTAGCCAGAATTTGATGATAAGAGATAATCTCAGAGATTCTATGAAGTCATAGTGAGAGCTCTCAATTATTATATTCATTCATCAAACAAGCAATGTCACCAACTGAAAGTGTGTGTGAGATTTACTGTTGCAATATAACACGCTCCGTTGATCCTGAAACTTTCTGCAGAATTCAAATTTCTACCTATGGTATGATGGAATTGTGAAGATGTAAAGTAGCGTATGGGATTCTTAGTTATCAAGTTTTCTTTTTCATATGACAGAACGATGATACGTTTCTAAAATTGTTAAAGAATTATTTAACTTTTGAAAGGCCTTAAATTGACAACTTTTCCAAGCTTTAATGTTAGCATTTTATTGGTTTTTTAAAAGCTTTAAAAACAAGTAATGATACATAGCCTCACGTGATATGTTAAAATTGAATAATTTTGATAAAAACTATCCTACGTATGATAAGTAATAATCGCATATGATATGTAATTTATACGTATACTTATTTTTAGGATGGAAAATATTAGTTTAGAAGGTTTCATCTATGATTGTTCGCAGAATGGTATACGAACGATTTATTGCCCTTTGATCGGTGAAGTTTGCATCGATGAAACAACAGAAGTAATTAGCAGAAGCAGGAAACCAGCTGTTGGAATGTGGTGTACGTTTAAAGCATCTTATCAGGTTTGGAGTGCTATTTTATACTTTCAATTTTCTTTTTTTTCTTCCTCTCACCTTTTCCCCTTCATATTCTACATAGTTTTCCTTAGATTTGGTGCATATCAACACTTCCATTTCAATCTGAAATAAGCAGCATATGTTTGAATTTTTTCTTAGAAAATTATACATTGGTATTGATATGCCAATTTTTGACAGCCATTTTTGGAAACTGCTGATTATATCATAAGTAATTCACGATGTCTAAAGGCATTTTCAGTAATACGTCGGTCTACTTCATAAACAATATATAAAGCATGAATTTTGAATAAATTAATATAAATTTCTGAAATGAAGAGCAAAAAATAATATATACTTGAGAAGTATAACTTGAAAGTATAAATAATATATACTTGATACGTGAGATACGTAGCCATTAGTCATTAGTGTACGTTTTGATAAAAAATGAATTCATAATCTTTTTTTTTAGGAAGGTAGAAAATGGTGTGCCCGAAAGGTTGTATTAATGTCATATCCACGATTGAAATGCCTCATGGGAGAGGATGAATGTACTGTTAAAGGTAAGTATATAATAATTATACATAAGATACAGGTAATATCATGTTGATATCAAACCAGCAAATTTTTTAACTTGTGATCTTTGCTCCTCTCTTTCCCTCATTTTTTTCCGTTGCATCGAGTTAGTGAAAAAATTTCCAGGAACAGCAGTTGTGTGCAATATAAGTGGTGATTCTGGCTACCTCTGGAATGACTACATTGGATTGATTGCCATTGAAGGACAAATGGTATATCAATTGAAACCATTAACTGCTGTTGAATTCCAGGCAGTACCATTGAGGAAGAGTGGTACACCAGCCTATTTTATGGTATGATTAAGCATATGTTTCAACTTCGGAATTAATTTTTACATTTCAGTGAATATTTATTTGATTGTCGGAATTTAAAGATTTCCACTTTTAAGGACGCAATTTCAAAATTTTCTTTTACATTACATTCTCTCAGATGGTAGCATTCAGGTGTATAAGTACAGTTGACCTCTGAGAATAGTGAATATGTTAATGTAGAAAACACTCAAATATAGCATATACACCTGATGCAAATATAATAAGTGCATTCATTTCGCAAATGTTATTCAAACTGAAAACATTTTGCAGGCCAAAAAAGTCAGCGTCGAATCGGAAATTGTATTTCAATCTGAAGTTCTGCTTTTCACACAGAAAGCTGAGATAAAAGCAGATGGTCGAGCCTATGTGTCGGGTAATTTTAAATTTTTTGATGATTCTTAGGTTCTAGCTTTATACCAATAAAACTCGTGCAGTAATGATACCCACCCTGTTGGAAATTTGTGCTGCAGTATTATGGCAATGAGATTTATATGGTAGCGACCAGGTTTTTTTATAATCAAAAGGCTCATTTACAATAATTATAATACTGATTTCCACATGATAATGAGAAATGTATGAATTTTCATTTCTAGACTGTGCTATTACTTTATTAGACATAGCATATTCTCGCCAAACAATTGTCCCTGCAACGTTATCAGTTCTTTATTACAAAACGTACATTGATAGTGCTTCTGGCATTGGTATTTATGCAACTGCTGATAGTAATATCGTTGCTGGAATTGTAAGTGAACTTATATCTGTTCAAGATAGTGATTATTGCTTTTGTTATGATTTTTGACGAATACTGCCACTCTTCGTCCGAAATATGCAGGAAGTTGTGGAATTACTAACTTTTTTTGTTCTTTGAGTGTTAATCTAATAGATTTTCTGATAGAAAGACGATTTTTTTACGACTGAACGATGTTTTCAACCATACGGTGAACATCAAGAAGTTGAATTGTTCGAGGACGCCCTTAATAGTAAGTATATACTGATGAAAAAGTAAAAAAATGCTTACTGCTTATTCGTATCGATGATAACAATCATGGATGATAACATTTATTATACAACAATAATGGATGATAACATTTAATATACAACAATCATGGATGATAACATTTAACATTTCTTTTTTCTAATGCTTAATTTTTTATAGGTCTGACTGTGATGTCGAGCCAGTTATCAGTTGTCGTAAGTTAAAAATTTTTTTCCCAAATTAAGCATTACAGTAGTGCATTACTATTTGGATAACGAACATTTGTTTTAATGTTAATCTTATATAGTATCTTAGCACCGTTTATTATTGAATACATCCTAGGGCACTAAAATATTTCTTTCAATGCTCCAAAGGATGTTAATGTGCATATTTTGCTTAAAAGCTGTACCTAAAGTTATGCAAATCTTTGTATGGTACTTTGTTTATCGTCCAAGTATTTGCGAACACATATAAGTTAGCTTGTTTTGATAATGTTATGTTATCATTTATTTCTTCTCTCATGACTAGTTGTCTGATTACTAATCAGATTTGACTGAAATTTTTGGATTGTTTGAAATTCTTTTACAACTTAAAATTTTATTTTTTTGATAGGATGATGAAACACCCATTATAAAAATTGACATATCACCGACTGGGAGCGTTGACGAACTCGTGGAGACCAACAAAAATGACGTTGGTTTATTTATCATTAAGTAATTTTCCCTTCTTTTTTGTCCAGAATGCTTGGTCATTCATTCTAATTATTTCAAACTAATTTTATATTACTTTTAACTTTTCTGCATTCCAAATTTTGTCAATTCAATAGATTCTAATTGGTATTGTTAAAAGCTATGGATTACCTTCTATCTTTAATTTAGCATTCTTCAAAAGTGGTTGATTCGTTAGCTGGTGATTCCAACTGTTCAGTGAATCAAAGTTTGGAATCATGTTCATCACTTAATTTTCGCATTTTGGACGATGAATTGGACTCTGAAAATAAGTTTCTCCCCAAAGCAATTGCTCAAGAGGTTTCGTTTCCAAACAGTAATATAATTTTCACTCCTGACCTTTTATTTTTACTGAATGTTCCGCACATTTCTTTTTTAGTTACATTTAGCATCTCTTTTTACTGGACTTTTTTTCTAACTCCATGCATTTAAAATAATACAAGAGAGTTAAGATTTGCTTGAATTCGGCCGATATTAAAGGAATAGCTGCTGCGTTCAAGATTAACATTTCGCACGAATCCACGACTTTTTGAAATTATAGTAGCTGATAGGTATGATATAGATTCATCCGGCAATCATATTACAGGAAATTGTTGATAAAACGATTATGATTTATAAAAGTGAGGGGCCAGTCGAAATATAATATTCTAGCTGAGCTAAAAAAGGAATTTATGAAGTTAGACGAGATGAGAAGAATTAGAATCGATATGAATTGAATGAATCATTTATTTCTGGTCGAGATCACTGAGCATTATATGTCAAATCTAGGAAAAGATTTGTTTGTCAATTCCAGGAAGATATATGGGATAATGAATTCATTGAGTATTTGCTACATAAAGTGAAGGAGGTGAAACGAAGTCAGGTATTCAATTTTTTTTGCTAAGCCTTATGTTCATAGCTTGTAATAATCCATAATCTAAAACAGTTGTAAAGGCGTAGCACATTGAAGACGGTTGAACTTTGTAATGAACCGCATGAAATGACTGTTGCTTATTTCATTGTATTTTTAGATTTCTTCTGCTTATAAGTACTATTTTTAGATTTATTTAGCTATCAAGACTAAAATTTTGTGAGATTTTAGTTTTGTCAGTGAAATAATATAAAGTGACTGTTAAAGAGTGAAAATGACGGAAAATGTGACGACATAAATAGATTGATCTATCAATCTCAAAATAATATTGAAAGCAGTAAAAAAGAGTTTCACGATGAATTAAAGTAAGTGAAAATTTTTCTGCTGCCCTAATTTTATAACTTAAGCAGTCAAATAAGAACACCTTTATTGGTGCCAGACCAAATAATTGCACTGGTTTTTCTTTTAGTAAATTTTAGTATATTTAGAGCTCATAAAGAAGAGAAGCCTCCATCAGCACAACATATACAAAGCATTGAGACTGTGGAGGTCGTTTTTGTGCTTCATTTTTGCGAATTCAGATGATGGCAAGATTTAATCATAGTTGAAAATGAATTTTCAAAAAATCTATCAAATATTTTACAAATCATCAATGTTTGGGGAATGCGGCTTAGGTGTTATTCTGAAATTTTCCAGATTTTGATTTAAATTATTTTTTTTCCATTTTTTATGGTTTGGACATGTTTAAATTAAAAAACAGAGTTATTAAGGACATAAAAAATGATTTGCAAATGAGGAATGATGTTGGCTCCAGTCGAAAACTCTCTGTCACCAACCGGTTAGTCTACATAAATCTCTTTAAATCTTCATTATCTTTCAGGTAAGTATAATGCTGCAATTTTATTTCACAAGCATAATTTTTGAATATTTTTTTCGCGAATCTTTTTTGTTTCAGGACTGTAAGCGGGATGGATTTAAAGTCTTTGTCAAATCCAGAAGAAAGCATCTTCGTCGGGAAGGTATCAATTATTCTTGATACTTATACTTTTTCAATTCAAATTTCTGTCAATAGTACATTTTTAAATTGATAAAAATGCGTTATTGGCAAATATTTGAATAAACAGAAATTGCAAAAATGTGAAGGAAAGCACTATTATGCAATCAAAACAATTGTTGTATTCACTCCTTTGCTTTATTGGAATGACTGGCTTGAAATTTTAAAAATTTCATCCTACGAGGTATGAAAAAGTTTCAGGATAGTTCATTAATAAAAAATGATTCTACGCAGTTTGCAGAAAATCGGCACAAGTGAAACTGCGTGGGAGCTTTTGTTCTTATGCAATTTCTCTTCAGAACCTTACTCCGAAATTTTTTGCGACCTTTTAGACTTTTTTGATATTAAGTATATCTGTAGATTATCATAAATATGCCTATTGTATATAATAATTTTATTGCAAGAACACGTGTTCTTCTTTCCATAGGTTATTTCTAAGTCCTATATAAAGTTCGCTCTTAATAGTGCTGTATATCTATGATCGTTCAGATAAGTCGTACGTAGGCTATGCGTCTTAGCAGTCAAATTATTTTTTTAATTCATGTTTGAAATACTGCTCATGTTATGGGTGGTTCGATCCTCTTACAACTGCTCACATTTATAACTTTAATATATCCATGAGCTGTTTTTAATATTCCAGACTGCACCTACGTGGATTGATGAAATGGATAAACTCTGCGTGAAAGTGCTTTCAAATGCCCGCCTTCGTAATTTTGTAAGCGTGAATAAAAATGGTTTGTAATTTGTGAATGAAAATAGTTTTTCATCTGTTTGGAACATTTTAATTAAGGGAAAATAGGAAATATATGCCATAATGCAGTTGTATTTCGGGTAGTGAGAGAAGCATTATGTTAAATTGACTTCCAGTGGCTACGAGATTGAATATGCTCAAGCGGTATTTTGGGAAAATAAATTTGATTTTGTTGGTTTAAGAATCCTTTGAAATTTTTTAAAATTTAATATTTTTGTTGCTTAATTTAAATAAGTGAAAGAATTTTTTATTTATTTAAGCCATGCATTTCAGTCACTCATTTAATGCTTTTCAGGAAATGATCTTCTTCGTGATATAATGCATTATTTAGAATATCAAATGACAGAAGAGGAGATGAAAGAAGAACTTGGAATTCCACTTTCCGAAGTAACGGTATGCTTTTGCTGATTCAACTGAGCAATATTTGATATTTTTCCTACATATTATAATGTTTTTTCTACATATTATACATATTATAATGAATATTCGGTAGTTTAAAGATTATTACTTTTATAAAACGAGTTATAATCCAGTAACTTCTTATCGTATTCTATGATTAAATATAGCATAATTTCAAAATGGTTTTGCTGGCCTCATTATTATTATTTTTTTGTTTTGGAGATGGTTTTTAGTGCAAATTGATTTGGAAGAACTATTAAAAAGCTCCTCTTTCCTCTTTCTGTACGGTGCTGCAATGATCACTAATTTCCAATGTTTGTTCCTATTAGTAAATTTTTCTTACTACATATAGCATTCAGTTCAATGTAGATTAAAGTAGTTACTTCACTTGAGACCTAATGATTAGATTGGTAAAATGTCAGAGCTGTTTCGTTCAAAATATTTGTTAGTTCCTTTTAATTTTTGCTATTACTTAAAAATCAAAATAATTTGATGCTTTTCTTTAGCCTGAATGTTTCAATATTGTGCAAAAAGAACGAGCGCTTGGTATATGTCGAAAACTTATGGAAATGAACGGTTTTGAACGAATTGCTAACAGTAAAATTCCCAAAATACCGGAAGAATAGCAAAATTCACCTAAATATATAGCTTTCACTTATTCCTATTTAAACGGTATATTAATAATGGTCTTATGGTACTATAATTTCGTTCGAGTTTTCTCCATTATTTTTTTGTAAATATCTGTATAATTATTTCTAGCATTACCATTTCTTTGAAGCACATGGCAGTGTATCATAGTTTATTGTTGTTTTTTTGTTCTTTTTTATTTATTAAATATTTTGTTTGTTTTTCTTTATAGGTTACATTTTTTCTTAGGAAGAATGTATGTTATTCCAGCACTGTATTTTTTTGTCTATGAAATTTATAACTGTTTCCGTATGTTTCCGTTAAAAGTAAAATCATATTTAGTGAATTTATAATTTACCACTCTTTAATAAATTTATTTATCATTTTTATTACTTTTTGCAATCCTAATATTAGTTCAATTGGATTTTTCTGCAATTTTTTTTTGCTGTTTATTCTTCTATTTCTCTTAAAAATGCTAGATTTTATGACTTTTTAACTTTCAAGCATATTTTTTAAAATAAATATCATATCATATATATTTTAATGCACACTTCTCGCTTTATTTTTTACTAATAACTTATTATTTTTAGTTTTCGTTTCATATTTATTGTAAACTACAGAATTTATTTATTGTGAACGTTTCATATTTATTGTGAACTATAGATTTTATACATGAATCGATTTTCTGGTGATTTTCTCATTTAAGCTCAAAATGAGTTGTAAACTCGTTTTAGGAATTTACAAAATGCGGAAGCAACTCGGAATATCAATAAAGTCTTTGATCAGAGTTTGTTGGCCTACATTACGAACAATGGTTTAAAGTGCAGGAGTTGTCGAAAGTAATCCTCTTATAACTAACTGCAGGAGGGATTTTAAAGCAGCCATTGGTATTTATTGTACTGTTGATTAGCATTTTCAGCAAATTTAAAAGATGAAGAAGCCGAATAGAAGATGGGTGGTACCTTATAAGCCGTTCGATAATCGGGAAGGTTGCATTTTTCAGTAATAAGGTTGTCTTCTTTTCTATTGTGAAACATCAAGAAGCTATGACTTTCAGAAAAGCACCTGCAGTATCTGACCGTTAAATACTTCAGAGCAAGTGATGTAATTGATGTTTTCAATGCTATTGTGTTCAGACCATGGTCTAACTATTCTGTAATTTTATATCCATTATAAGATTCTTTAAATGACTTTGAAATAACATAAATTTTAATTTAAATTTAATTTAAATTTCTCTATACTTTTTTGTTGTCTCTTTTTGAATTAAAAAATGTACAATCATTCCCAACTTTTGTAAGCTATCAAGGACAGCTAAAAGGGAAATAAAAATATTTCTTTCTCGATCTTACTCTATCTCACGTGTTATCATCACTAGTAACAGATCTATCAATATTATCCAGTATTATCTGATAAAAAGATATGCTGGTGTCGAAACGATTCGTTGTAGTATACATAAATACACCAACTAATATGAAGTATTAACGTTTAAAAAGAGCTGAACTGCTAATGTCTTAAAAAGTGTTTTATTGTAATTAATTTTTTGTTATAATATCTCCAACGGAAAATTCACCTGTATGTTATAATAATAACGGATGAAATATCATATGTACTACAAACTATCAGCATTTATTACATTTTTCTATTTTTGTAAATAATATTACACCAGAAAGAAGAGTAATATGCGCAACGCCTTTATAGATAACATATATATACACGTCCTTTCTACATGTAACACGTACAACGCCTTTATAGATATCATATATGCACGTCTTTTCTACGTGCAGGGCATACATCGCCTTTATAGATATTATATATGTTCGTTCTACGTGCAACACGTACAACGTTTATATATGTACGTCCGTTCTACGTGCAACACGTACTACGTCTTTATAGATATCATATGCTCAAACATATTATGCTTACAACTATTTCTCTTTTCTGTGATATCATCTTTTCTTGTTTCTTTACCTAGAATTCATTTAAAAAAAATATTCGTCATATTAATTTTTAGCAGTTTTTTTGTTAATTAAGGAAAAAGAAAAATGATCAATCACAACTTCTTTCTTCTTTTTTAAATGATAATTTTTAGGAATTGTTTTTACCATCGATTAAATAATGTGAATTTTTTTGGTGTAACAAGTATATATTGTTAAACAATCGATAGATGATTAATCGAGAAATCAAATTAGGTAAATAAATAATTAAACGGCTAGCATCATAAATTTTTTTTGTTTCTCGAACGCCTGATTGTGTTCTGGTGTTCATTTTGAATTAAACTAAATTCCAGAACACATCATATATAAACTGTATATTTCATATAAATAGATCATGTGAAGAAGAAAAGAAGAATGTATGCACAAAATGGTGCATTCTCGACATATAATAATAGTACTGAAACTGAAATAATAATAGTTGTTGAAATTAAAATCCAAAATAGGATTTGTAGTCAAATCAAAATTTCAAATCTTATTGAAATCAAGATTTAAGTCTTCTTCTGATACTTTGATGAAGTATGTCTTCATATCACCTTTACCCTTTACATTAATTATACCACGACATTCAAATTCAAAGCCTTCTTTTTCCAAGATATTTTTCGTTTCTTCCGTTATCTGAAATTTAAAGAAATTTTTTAAATTTAAAAACCTTTTATAAAATTTGAGAAATTGAAACGAAATTCATTAAAAAAGAACATTGTAATAAGGAAGGAAATGAATGATAGTGATTTATTTAAACTAAATTACAAAAATATACATATTTTATTTTGTTCTATTTTCTATTCTATTCTATACATATTTTATTCTATTTTCTATTCTATTCTATATATATTCTATTCTATTTTCTATTCTATTCTATACATATTCTATTTTCCATTCTACTCTATACACATTTTATTCTATTTTCTGTTCTATGCATATTTCATTTTATTCTACTTTCTATTCTATTCTGTGCACATTTTATTTTATTCTATTTTCTGTTCTATTCTATTTTAATGCCTTAATTCTATTTTTTATTCTGTTCTATTTTATACCTTAAATCATTACACGTAATGCTCCGTCATATTCTAATGTGCATTTTACGTATTACAAATATCACTATGTGTTACATTTCACTTCGTAAATGAGCTATACACTCAAATAGTATTGTATCCATCAATAAGATGCAAATTATCAAATAGTTATTTAAGTATTATTTTTTAATAGACACTTCTAAATTAAGCATATCCAATTTACTTTAAAGTTTTTAATGCTAATCATAGAATTCAACATTATCCTCCTATCTATCATTTAATTTTTAAATTAAATAATTTCATTTTAACCTAGAAATTTCGAAAAATAAAAATCTATCGATAAAAATAATGTATAGAATTCCACCAAAATCATTTGCTTACTTGTATTTTGCCCGCTACACCAGAACTATCCATTCTACTGGCAACATTAACCGAATTACCCCAAATATCATAATGTGGTTTTTTCACACCAATAACACCTGCTACTACCGGACCAACATTGATACCTTAAAAAGACGAATAATTATCGCACTTCTTTCATGAGTAATAATCACAATAATCACAATAATCATGTTTTGATTACTAAACAAAAATTATTTTAAATCAAAAAAGAAGCGAACAAATGATGTATTCAAATGATACAATGAATTTTGAACTTAATTATTGATTAATGATAATTAAAAGATCGTAATAGTTTTCGAAGTAGTAAGAAATGATTATCGAATGAAGCAAGAATAATTGATTATTCGCTTTAGAGTGCAATTCTATTATCGGATTACCGATATCAACAAGAATCATTGATTATTCTCTTTAGAGTCTAATTCTATTATCAGATATCACTTCTCATTTAGATATAAAATCATTAGTACATATTAGATCAGAATTTTTTGTTGAATAATTTTAATTCCAAATATTCAAAAATTATTTAAAAAAAAAATAAAAAATTAAAGAATTTTTTTAATAAAAATTAAAAAGAATTTTTTTAATCTTAAAAATTTCAAAAAGAAATTACTTACTATGAATTTATAAATGAAACCTTAAAATTAAAAATAAAACAAAGATTGGAAAAAAATTAATTATTACCTATCCTAAGATTGAAATTATTAAACGAATGTTCATTGATATGTTGTATAAGAGCTAAAAGACGAATAGCAAATAATGCGACAGCGACAACATGCGAATGATCGGTTACTTTACCAAATAATCCCGAAGCTGCCATATATGTCGTCGAAATTGTTTTAATCTTTTCAATACATTTAAATTCCTCACGACTAAGTTGCTGAAATTTCAATTTTTTTACTACTAAATTTGAAATAAATGAAATCTGTTAAAGTGTGTTTAAGAAAAGAGAAGATTATTTGAGGGCAGTCATCGTTTTCCTATATAATTGTCATTTTTCATAATCTATAGATATACCTTTTTTTCACCCAAATTATTCAATAATCAAAATATGACAGATACTTAAATAGCTGTGCTAGTGGTTACAGTATCACTTATATATTAGTTACAGTAGTCATATATAATTTGTCTTGTTTCCCTGTCTTTTATTTTCAAAGCATCAAACAACAAAAAATGAATTCCGGAATAGATTGAAAAAGTATCCAAATTTTTCTATTAACCGGAATATTCCATATATAATATATCATATGTTAATTATATATAAATCAGAAATCAAACCTATCAAGCTAAAAATAGATGAGAAGATATTTCATTCAAATTAACTATCAAATTAGCAAAAATAATCGATTAAAAAATTTTTCACATAAATAACAAGAAGTTAATAATAATATACTTTAACAAATTATCATTTTTCAAATTAATTTTTCCATTTCTAATTTTACTATTCCAATTAATTTATTTATCATCTTAACAGTATTACATACATCAATTCCAGCATTAAATAATGAAATATAAATTTTGAACTATCGATATGGATGAATTAATTTCTCGAATCAATTCTTATTGATATTTGTTTATTTATTTATTGGCATGAATTGGAAGAGAGTTTATTATTATTATTATTACTATTATTAATATTATTATTATTATTGTTATTATTATTGTTATTATTATTACTAATTATTTATCATTATTATTAATTATTATTATTAATTATTACCATATCAAAGTCAGCGATAATTTCATTAAGAAGTCGTAAACATTCGACGCCCTCATTATTAGCATCCAATTCCATATAAAATTTATCAAATTCTGTTATTGTAATGAATACAATTGCAGCATTATCACGTGCTTCTGAATATAATTCAGTCCTGCAAACTATGCAAATAATTAAATTATATCATTTTATAGTTAATATTACCTAATAACAATTGCATTCAAATATCAATAATAATTAGCAATACCTAATTAATAATTAATATTAATTACTATCTTAGTATTAAGGTATTAATAAGACAATATATAAAAATAATCTAATAATGTCTAATCGCAATTACATTCAAATATCAGTAACAAATAACAATAGCTAACTAATAATTATTATTAATTACTATTTTAGTACTATAATTTTAGTGCTAAGATATTATCATGATAACATATAATGATAGCATTTATTGAATATGATTATCACGATGTTTTCAAAGTTATTTAATATTTGATTTCTTAATAAAAAATTTTCTATAATTTTCATCCGAGCATTACAAAAGATTAAATAACAAAATGTAAAAATTGTTCAAATAATAAGATCATTGTTTTTCTTAATTATTAAATAACAATAATTTAAAAAATAGAAATAACCCTTCATTTTCTTTTAGAAAATATTCGGCAATATGCGCCGGTAAAATATTTTCTAAAACGGCTCGATTTTGTGCATGCCTTTTTTCCATTTCTCGTCCTTCATCTAAAGCCTGAAAATTGATTATTTTAATTTAATATCACCTATATTTTAATTAATAAATGCTGACCATTGATTATTTTAATTTACTATCATCTGTATTTTAATTAATGGATATTGATCAGTTTTGTATATATATTATTGAATATTTTAATTTAATATCACCTATATTTTAATTAATGAATATTTGATTATTGATTATTTTAATTGAAATACCATCTGTATTTTAATTAATGAATATTGATAGGCTTTGTATATATAGCCATATGCAACAAAAATCATAATTTGTTATATTTTTTCTAAAAAATAAATTAAAATTTTTTGTGCAAAAGATTTTTGTAATTTTAGGTTTTTGTTTGAGTCCAAAAAAATAAAATCCTAAAATTTGAAGAGTTCCAATAATTTATGAAAATTGCAACAAATTTTTATTTACCTGAAGCTTCCAAATAAAATCAAATCGAGCGATCAATTCTGATCGACGACTTTGAATCACAATTAAGATAAATGCAAATATGATGACTAAAGTGAAAAACAATCGTAAATCGTCCCATAGGTTCATTTGGCTGCAATTATTAACATTATAAATTGATCATATAATATTAAAGTATGAAAATTTATCAAATGATAATTTATCAATTGAAAATACAAATTGCTATAACCTGCAGAGCATTTCCATTTGTTCAACGAATGAAATATTTGGATCGAAATAATTCTGATTCTTCCAGAATGTGAACTGATAGATGCTATGATTAGGAAATTCAGTTAACCATATAAGAAATAGTATAACTAAACAAAGCATCAATGAGACCAATATTTTTTCCAATGCAAGAAATGAATTGAATATACAAACTGATAGAAGTAATAGTAAAACACCCTGAAAATAAAAGTAAGATAAAATGAATTTATTATGATAATGATTAAATTATCAAATGAGTTGAATCTATGAATTGAAACCAAAAATAATAGTAAAACACTCTGAAAAATAAAACGATAAAATTATAGTAATAAATCAAAAGAATTTATTATAATAATGATAAATTATCAGCAGAAGAATAAAAAATTGATTATTTTTCATATTATAGATATAATATAATACATAATATAGCAATATTGATCGATGCTATTAATCGATAATAAATCTGAATTTCAAAAATAAAAGAAAAAAGGGAAATTTCTGAATAACCTCAAAATAAATTGGACGATTAACAGAATGATCACAGGTTGTTACAATTATTTTTGTTGAATTAATACAATGATAGGAGCAATCAAGCGAATAGTGCTGAAAAATATTTTGATTAAACCACCAAAATTTCAACTTTATTAATTATTGGTGGAAATATGATAGCTTATTTTTATTGTCAATCTCTACAATAATACTTTTATAGTAATTCAATTTTGATTTATAAGGCATTTCTATAAGATCGAATACTTCCCAGTGATATAGATTGATAAAGTAAATTCAGCAAAATAAGTTAATTATTAATTTTCTCAAGTTAAATTTTCTAATTCATTAAAATAATCTAATTAATATATATGGAAGAAATAATTGCTTTTTACATAATATTTTCAATATAAACCGAATACTATTATTATTATTAACAATAACACTATTATTTATCATTATTATTAATATTATCACTATTATTATTGATTAAGCAGAATATCAATCAAATGTTGCTTCTCAGGAATCATCAATCTCTTTCATCTCTATCATAATTTATTTATCATTGTACACAATCATAATTTTAATATAGTTTGATAAAATATGAAAAGAAACAAAATAGGAACTTACAGTAGAACGACTGAAGAACAAGCATATAGCAGATGATAGAAGTATAAATATCGCAAAAAACCTTAGAAAGCTATTTTTATACATCTTGTATCGGCAACAACGCTGAAAATTCACCAAAAATGACAATATAAAATTTCAAAATTAATTTACAAATTATTATTGGTTGAAATTTTCCTAAAATAATTCCTTTCAAAAATGATTAAGAAGCTAAATTATCTGAATTACTCTATCGTTATTCTGAATTATTATCTAAATCATCCTATCGTTATTCTAAATTATCTGAATTATTCTATCGTAAGTTTTGCTAATTTTTTCCCCATTTTTGTTAATTGTCCCGTATCATCTGATAATTTCCCGCACTCCACTCCATTAAAGTGGAATGCTCGGGAAACGGATCCTCGAAAAATGATGAACACCATATATGCAATAATTCTTAGCTTACTAAATTAAATTAAGAGAGTCGACTGAACTATTAGTTGCGAAAAATAGGCCCAGTCTGAGTTCAATCCTTACTTCAACTCAAAAGCAATCTTAAAAAGAAGTAACTCTTTTTTTTTCCCAGGAATTTCAACCTATGTTTATAGCCCCTCTTAAATTATGCATACAATATTTTGAGCATGTCAAAATTAGTGAAGCAAATATGCTAATTTAACTATACAATATTAAGGTATCGGGAATTTATCAATGGTAGTGACCATTACAATTATGGTTACATCATTTACAAACGATAAATTTTCGGTGATTAACCATCGATCAAAGATGATAAATCTGAGAATTTAAATGAGAATCATGATTAATTTTTAGACAAATAAAATTAATTAAAAATTTAAACAAAAATTCATACCACAAATGAACCAACAATGAGAGAAATGGATAATGCTAGTGCTGATAAAAATGATAAGATAATAACGAGATATATTATGATTATGCTGTAATTGTTTTTAATTTAAATGATGGAAGATAAAAAATTGCTCAAAAAATTTTAATTCTGGGAGCTGGATTTTAAAAATGAAGAAGTAATAAATTTTGATAGTGACAGTTTAACTAATCATGAAACCATAAGCATATCATACAATATTGATCCGCTGTAAATGACTACCGGAATGATATATATTCAAGAAATAAGTATGGAATAATTATAGCAAAATATATTATCATATATTGATTTTAATTCTGTGAAATGATTTGATGAAATGAATGAAATTAAAATGCTTTGTCATTATTTACAGCTTTTTTAAAAAGAGAAAATTTTATAGATTCACTAAGAAATCCTATTTTATCTCAAATGTTATTTTTTGAAAAATATTTTTTGAATTTTCCGAACATTCTCAAATCGCTCCTTTAATTTTTGCTCACTTTAAAATCGCTCCTTTAATTTTTATTCACTCCAAAATGCTTCAATTTTTTTCTTTTGCTAATATCTGTTAGAAATCTTGCTAAAATGCTTAAATTTATATTAAATGTTTATGTTTATGTTAAATTGCTTAAATTTATATAATTTAAATTTAAATTAAATAGTATAAATTAATGAATGATACCTGTGATTCTCGAGGAGTAATATAATGGATAGTAATAGACCTGCGACAACTATTACACACATTAGCTGCATAAGAAATGCATCTTCTTTAAATTCCATAAACTAAATAACGATATATAATAAGTATATATACATATCTATCTTATTCATTTCAATAAAAATCTTATAAGGGAAAAAAATTAAAAATCTGAAATTAAATTAAACTAAAAAAGAATTGACTTAACGAAGTAGTTTACAGCTGTCAGAAATAAAAAAATTTTTTGAAATTAATTAAATAATTAAATAATTAAATAATTATATAATTTGTTGAATGGGAAAAAAAAATATGTTTTGTTCTATAAACTAATTACTATTAATTTCTTTTTTTCAATTCTAAATTTTTTCTTTTGTTTTTAAACATTTATCAAAAATTTATTAAGAGAAAATATATAAATGAAAAGGATTATTCTACAAACCAATCAGTATTAACTTCCTCTTTTCAGTTCTAAATTATTTCTTTTGTTTTTAAACATTTGTTAAAGATTTATTAAGAGAAGATTAATAAATGAAAAGGATAAAACTATCATTCCAATTTTGCAAACCTTAGCTTCCATTTTTCTACGCCGAAATTTTAATGTAACTGTTTTGCAATATGTATTTTTCCATGCATCTTTACTGATCGCTCGAATACCTTGCATTAAATAATTTACAACTTCAACATCCACAGATTGCTTATTATGTTGTTCATAATGTGATATTGATCGCCTAAACTGGAATTATTCGCCGATGAAGAAAAATATTCGTTCAAAATAGTACTAATTATGGTTTTTTTGCTATATTATAATATTTCATGATTTGTAAATATTTAGATATATATTTAAATTTATTTTCAATTAATTAAATTAATTAAATTAATCAAAAACTTCATATTATTTTAATTCATTCATTTAAAATTTTTCATTCAAAATTATATCATTTATTTTTGAATTAATTTTAATTTTCTTTTTAATCAAAAATTTCATGCTATTTTAATTCATACATTTAAAGTTTATTCATTTAAAATTAATTAAATTAAATTTATGAGTCATACATTAACCAAAAAATTGAAAAAACATTTATATTAATTTATTAGAGGTATTTACTGATAACTTATTATATTTTATGAATAATAAAAATTTCATTTTTAAGAATAATTATAGTTTTGGCATAAATAAAATTAGAAATAAGAATTGCTCTATGATTCTAAGGATTTGAATAAGAATTACTATGAATATAAGAATTACTATGAATTACTATGAATTTGAAATCAAAAATTGAATAATTAAAAAGTAAACTAAAGAAAATAATTTTTAACGCAACAACCTATTAGTTGTAGTTTCCCGATGTCTTACTTGTGGATTTTCATGACTGTAACCAGTTACTCGAAGGCCATTCTCACCAAGTGGAATATCTCTTTCCTATAAATTTAAAATTAAAAACTTGAAATATAAATTATTTTAAAATAAAAGATCTATTCCAAGAAAGAAAAAGAAAAGAGATAAATTTGCTTGTTTACCGATTGATCGAATTGAATATTTATCAAAGCATTGAATTAATCAACTTCATAATTCAATTTTAGTTAAATATTTAATTTCAAAGGGTATAAATTCGTACCGTATGATTAGTACCATTATCAACGATGAAATATGTCTTAACTTTATGTTCAGCCAGATATTTTGAACGTTGTTCACCATGACCTTCCTCAATTTCATAAATATCATCCAAACATTTCAACGTTGCATCAGTTATATGAATACGTCTAAAATGCATCAATGATCATTTGAATATTTACAGGATTTTATAATCCAATCAGTATATTTACCGAATAGTAGTACAAGGAGTGGAAATCGTTTTAAAAGAAATGTATCACTTTTGAGAATTTTTAAGTACCATACTTAAGTATCAATTAGAGTACAATTTCTAATGATCAATTTAACCTTTCCATTTTTCCCCTTTAATTCATTCCCTTATTTTTACCAAACATCAACTTTCATGCTCTCTCCGAAACATTGAGATAGATTATCCCGAGATAAAATCTATTATTATTACTTTACCCGGGTAATCCACCGCTTTCCATATGATTTGCTAAAGTAACATCATCGCTCCATACATCAAACTGCCATTTTTTCAGGCCAAGTACACCGCAATGAGCTCGACCGGTATGAATACCAACCCGCATGTTTACATTAACGCCGGTTATTTCTCGTACTAATCTGTAATAAGTAAGTATTATCAATTTTCGATATTCCAGAAATGATTCATTTCCGGTGATAAATCTAGAAAATATATTTTGATGAATAATTTCTTAGATTTGAAATAATGGCAATTTTCTTAATGAATAGATTAAACAGAATAGTTCCTGTGTTTAGAAGTGTATATTCGTAGCCTATGTTCAATTCGTAAACGTCATAATCGTATCAAATGATATGTTGGATACAGTGTAATGGTTCACGTTGCAACAAACGATACGTATTGGATCGTTTATTGTATTCAACATTTCGACTAACACGTATTATCATCAATTATTTGCTATGAAATCATTATCAAACAAAATAGAGTAATATCCAAGATATACTTATTTATACTAAAATAAATTTGAAATAATTGAAAGGAAAGGAAAGAAAAACGATCACTAACTTAATCACTTCAATCATTTCAAGTCCCATTTCAACAGCGCATTGCGCATGATTTGGTTGATAATCCGGTAAACCGGAAACACAATAGTAACAATCACCAAGAATTTTAATTCTCATACAATGATTACGATGTGCTAAATGATCAAAACGAGCAAACAGATTATTCAGCAATTGCACTAATTCATCCGCATTACATTCTGATGCCAAATTGGTAAAACCACAAATATCCGCAAATAGTATGCTATAAAATTTTCTATAAATTATCATATCAATTTCAATTTCATTTTGACACAAAATTTTTTCCTTTAAAAATTATTAATTTTAATTTGAAAAATGTGTGCCTATTTTCGATAAAATGAAAAAGTTACATTAAAGAGAATTGAAAAGTTATTTATGATTTTGAAAAATAGCAAAAGAAATGAAAAAGCCATTTCTTTAATTAAAAGGAAATTCGAAGATTCGATAATTTCCTGAATTTCCCAATGATGGCAATATGCTATTTGGAATTGAACAGTATTGCTTGGAATTGAAAAATTAAAGAATTAATAAATTGAACTGTGAAATGAAATTGTTTAAATGGATTTTATTATTAGTATTTAGATTTATTTTATTTCAGTTCAATTAATTTTTATGTTCCTATCATTGCTTGGAATTGAAAAAATAAAGAATTAATAAATTGAACTGTGAAATGAAATTGTTTAAATGAATTGTATTATTAGTATTTAAGTTTATATTAATTCAGTTCAATTAATTTTTATGTTCCTATCATTGCTTGGAATTGAAAAAATAAAGAATTAATAAATTGAACTGTGAAATGAAATTGTTTAAATGAATTGTATTATTAGTATTTAAGTTTATATTAATTCAGTTCAATTAATTTTTATGTTCCTATCATTGCTTGGAATTGAAAAAATAAAGAATTAATAAATTGAACTGTGAAATGAAATTGTTTAAATGGATTTTATTATTAGTATTTAGATTTATTTTATTTCAGTTCAATTAATTTTTATATTCCTATTAACATTTCTAATAATTAACATTATGTACTTTTTTTATAAACTAATAATTATGCATTTTTTTGGGTAATATTTTGTAATATAATAATATTTGTTATATTCAGTAATATTTTGTATTATATTAATATTTTTGATAATATATCATTAATTATATATTAATTAATATTGTGCATTTCTGTTCGGTAAATTCATCGCAATAATAAACTCAAATTTTAAACTCAAATTCAAACTCAAATTTTGAAATGAAATACTTTTTTACAAAATATTTTCATCGTTGCAACAATATTACTTCGTTTATTGATTTATTTAATAAGATTAATTTATTTCGCATTTATTGATTTATTCCGTAATGTTCGATATTTGATGCGTTTATATTTTTGCTATCAAGAAAAATTTTTTAGAACATACCTGATAACATCATGTTTCCGTATATAAATTTTATGAAACATTGTTGCGGATTGTTCTTCTACAGCTCGATCTTTCCGGACATCATTTGCTATATGTCGAGGAAGTACCGATAATAATATATCTTCCTGTTTGATATTTTCTCGTAATAATAAAATTCGCCGTTCCACACATTTCCTAAGGAATAAAAAATGAAGAAAGTTTTTGTTTACCTTTTCAGCCTTCTTCATTGATCCGTATTTTCGAAGAATCAGAATCATTTACAGAATGCATTCATTCATTGCTTTTAGATTCTAATCCATTTTCAACAATCATTATTGAACTAATCAACTAACAAATATCATCAAAATGATCATTACACTAATTAAACTAAATCAATGATTGATAGCAATAATACTAAAATAGACATTAAAAAATTTGAAATTAAATGAAGAAATAGATTAGGAGGAAAGAGAGAGAGAGAGAGAAAAAAGAAAAGTGAACCTTGTTTCATGAAAAGTTTTTCGTTGTACAAATTCCGTCGGATAGTAAACAAATAAGCCAATAAGATTCATTGTAATCAATAGAACAATTTCGATTAATCCCTGATTGAAATGTATTTAAAATTTAATTAAATTTGAAATGAAAAAAAAGGAATTTAAAATAATTAAATTCAAAACAAAAGAAATTAATTCTATTATTATTGTAATGCACAAAAGCTAATTAATTTCCTTTTTTTCTCAATTAAAATTTAAAAAAATTAAACTTACCCTTAAAAACTATCTAATTTAAATTGAAATTATTTTTTGATTTTATTAATTGAATTAAAATCAATAGAATTTAATTTAGGAAAAATAGATATGCATTGCTAGAAATTAATTTTTATCATCAAATTGATGGTGAAAAATAATTGATTCAAATTTTTGAATTCATTACACTAATTAATCAGTAAAAATGTTGTCAGAAATATTTCTGATATCAATTAACGGATATTTTAATTAATGGTTAGAGTAAGTAGTAGGAGAAAATTTTTTAATAAAATATATGTTACTGCTTTAGTTCAAAGTTTGTTTTAGTTTAACCACATCCATAGCTAATAGCAAAATCGATAGTAAAAACTTTTGCTACTAATTACTTCCTGGTGCAAAACGTCTTATGCGGTATTATTATTATGCGGGTACGACAAAGAAAAGAAAATCTGCGCATATCTTAAGAATAATTTCACTTTCGAAAACTTTTGAAAATTTAAAGTGAATTAAAAATTGACCCTATCGACCTTCTCAGTGTGCAACTTTCAATTTAATCAGACATTTTAAAGGACATTTTTGTGATCCTATCATATTATTCTTATCAGTGCAACTTCCAATTTAATCAAATATTTTAAAGCACATTTTTGTGATCAAAGAGCAAATTGAAATTTAAAATATTTTTAGAAATCAATGCAATCTCAGAGAAGTCAAAATTTTATCTTTTTTTTAATGTTGTTTTTCTTGTAATTAAATTGTAATTTTTTGTTTCAATTTAATTATAAGGAAAATAACATTAAAAAAACTGAAATCTTTTATTTCAATTTAATTACACTTTTATAGATTTTACATGGAAAGAATTAAAATTCTTTTTTTTATTGCAAAATTTATTTGTTGAAAAATTTCAATTTAATTATATTTATATTTTGATAATTAATTTATTATAATTGGCAAAAAAATGAAAAAAGTCTTAACTATGCCTTCTTTTGTTTTTCAGTTATTAACTTTATTATTTTGATTTGTCATTTATTTATTTAATTTTTGTTATTTCACAAATATACTGAATTCTTACTTCTTTCATATTTGTTAAATTCAAATAACAAATGACAATTGTTGTAACAGTGATAAGCATAGCTGCCAGCAGAGAATGGATTAATTCAAGTGGTAATAAAGTATAGCATAGGAATAGGAGTAGAAGTGAAAAACAGAATAATTTAATCAATGGTGTAACAATTAATACCATAATACTACATGCAACAACAATCCATGATAACAGGAATGAATTACGCCATCGCCATAACAGTAATGCAGCAATGAATGCATCAACAAGAATTAATACAATAGCAACAGACCAAATATTTGATAATATCGTAATTATTGTTTCAATTATTGTTAAACCAAGAAGACATGCCAAAGATGTCTGAAATACGAAAAAATTTTAAGTTTAATTTGTAAAAAATTATTAACTATGCTTTTTTTGTTTTAATGAATTAATTATAATTAATAAAAAAAATTTCCAAACTTTCTTTTTCAAATAAACAAATCAATCGATTTAATGGATTAATCATTAAGTTGTCAACAAAAAATGTTTTCAACAATTAAAAAAGATAAATTTTTTCAATATTATTTTTTGGAAAATAACGATCGTGCAAAAATTGTAAAATAGCGATAATGCAAAATTTTGTAAAATAACGATATTTGCATAATTTGTAAAAGAACGATGTTGCAAAATTTGTGAAATAACGATATTGCAAAATTTTGTAAAATAACGATCGTGCAAAATTTATAGAATAACGATATTGCAAAATTTTGTAAAATAACGATCGTGCAAAATTTGTAAAATAACGATCGTGCAAAATTTGTAAAATAACGATCGTGCATAATTTGTAAGCAAAAACTCTTTTTAATATTTATAAAATTTATACTTTCTTTGATTTTATTTCCGAAGAAAAACAAAGAAAAAACAAAAGATAAAATTAGGAAGAAATTTTATTTGAAAAATAAATTTTAATCAAATTTTTATGATAACATTTAAAAAAATAGGAAATAAAAATTAATAATTAAAATGGAGTAAAAATAAAATTTACACCGTTACAGCACAATAATTATGCAATATCATATAATGTTTACTTTTGCCAAAAATTATTTCTCAAAAAAAACAATGCCCTAAATTCAATTGTTTCATTTTAGAATATATTAAGGAAAGAGAGAGAGAAAGAGAAAGAGAGAGAGAGAGAGAGAAATTAAAATTTTCCAATATAAAAATATCAATTGATCAAGTTGTTATTTTCTATTTTTCACAGATGGATTTTTTGCAAATTTCCCTCATTCATCATAATATCATTTTAAACTGTCATCTTAAAATATTTCAAAAGAATAACATACAACAGCTTTTAAAATACTTTCATTTTCCTGATGATAATTAGTTAATAGTTAAAAATGAAAAAAATAAATAAATAAAACACTCTTTCATTATCGTATCTATTGTTGATCATTTTCTGTTAGCTTTAATGAATACGAATTTTAATTGCAAGAAAATTCTTTTCCTTGCGATCCCTTCAAAAATTTCATTTATAATCTTTCGTTCATTTTCTTTTGCTTACTATATTTCTTATAATTATATATTATTTATAAGTTTCTTTTGCCTTTCATTTTATGCAACAAAGAATGAATGATATCATTAGAATTCATTTCTTTGTTTTGAAATACAATTTCAAAAATTTTCCATCAAAAAAATAAAATATCATCAATTTGTGAAATGGCTAAAGCAATTATATTTTGCAAAAAATTTGAGAGCGAAAATTAGGGAGAAAAAGAAAATGTTGCATTTGAGGAATTTTGCCGATTTCTTTTTTTCTTTGCAAATATTTAATTAAAAAAGAAATGTGAAATTTAATTATGTTAATTTTTGATTTATAGTGCTATTATATTACTATGAAACATTTCAAATTTAATTATCACAAAGCATTTCAAATTTAATTACTATGAAACATTTCAAGTTTAATTATTTTACTATAAAGCATTTCAAATTTAATTACTATGAAACATTTCAAGCTTTATTATTTTACTATGAAACATTTGAAATTTTATTGCTTTACTATGAATCATTTCAAATTTAATTACCATAAGGCATTTCAAATTTAATTACTACGAAACATTTCAAATTTAATTACTTTACTATAAAGGCATTTCAAATTAAATTACTTTACTATAAAGCATTACAAATTTAATTATGATGCAATGAAACATTTCAAATTTAATTATGTTGCAATGAAATATCATTCTATTTTCGACTAAGAGCACCACATTTGTTTTTTGTTTACTTCAACAAATGAAGGAAGAAAACTTGCAATTTATCTTATATTATAGGTCATAATATATGGCATATATTGAAATTGACATATGTGCAAAAAGGTAGAGATCATCGTTAAAATTCGTGCAAAATAAAAGGTTGCAATAATAATTTGTTTGTCAAAAAATTAATTACCAAAATTAAACAAATAAAAAAATGATCGTAAATTTTTTTTTTTTAAGAAAAACCTTTTTCTATTAGACGAAAAAATTTTTTTAAAAAAATTAGAAATTAACGAAAAAATTTTTTTTATTAAATAAACAATTAATCATTACGCATTGATTAAGCAAAAATTTAATGATTGAAAAAAAAAGTAAACAAATAATGGCTGAATAAAAAAAGTAAACAAAATAAAGTAAACAAATAATCAAACCTTTAAACGACCAGCATTCATATGTATAAAATATGCCTTATATACCGGATCTGAACCACATGGATGAAATGAAAATAATGACTTCTTCTCCTCTACCGTATCCATCATATCAAGAATCTCACTATTTTCGATATCTATAATTTAGAATTATAAATTTAAAATGATTGGAAATGAATTTATTTATTTGTTTTAATTTAATGAAAATAAATGTGTAAATATTACATGGATTATTTCAAAGATGAAGAAAATTTTCTTTCCTAAAAAATAACTTCCAATTATATTTAATCTATTTTATTAGATTACATTTAATAATATTTCATTTTATATACAAAATCATATTTCAATTACTATTGCTATTACATGCTTTAAATGTAATGGAAGAAAAGAAATATATAGGAAATGAATTATCTTAATACTTATATTTAAAATTAAATTAACAGACCAATTCTGGAATCGGTAAGTGATTGTTTCACCGCACTATCCTTTTCATGTAACATTTTTCCTTTTTTGTTGTAATTCATATATTTTATGAATTATTCTTCTATTGTATAAGAGTAGCAGCCTTAATTAACTTTCGTTTATATCGCCGAATACATACCTAAAATATAAATTTAAACACACTTTTTAAATAGTGCACGTGCACACACACACACGCACACATACACACACATATCCTAAATGATTGAATTAGAAGCAAATTAATTTTGTGATAAAAAGTAAATGCCAAATATTATTTGATAAGATGATAGAAAAGCTAGCAATTAAAACTTAGCTATTAAAAATAAACAAAAGTAAATTAAAAGAAAAAAAATGATGTAAAGAAAGGAAGAGTGTATTTCAGTTGTACCAACAATGAACAATAATAATAATATATTTGTATTAATTAATAAAAAGTTTGCAATTAGTATTTTATTTTTATTTTATTAGTATGTTCGAAAAGCAATAAGTGTTTTGTTTTATTTTATCAATATGTTCAAAATTAAAAGACAAAAAAATGCAAATATTATTTTATAAATAATTGTTATTCATTGAATTAATAATAATCATAATAGTAACAATAATAATTAATAACAATAATTAACAATATTAATTATTATTATTATTAACAACAACAATGATAATACTAATATTAATACAAAGAAGCAAAAAGTATTTCATATTTTCTATTATTAAGTAAAAATTAGAATGGAAAAAATAAAATTAAAATTTTGACAAATTAAAATACATTCGTTGAATTGGATTTGTTGCAAAAACAAAAATGAATTAAAAGAAGTATTAGAATTCAATTAATCAATAATAAATGTTATTCTGATATTTCGCATCTTTTTATAAACTTCCGGAAAAAAAAACATCAAAGAAGAGAATATTTGAGTTAATCAATAATGGATGTTATTCAGATGTTACACATCTTTCTATAAATTTACGGAATGAAACCATCAAATGAGAGATATTTGAGTTAATCAATAATAAATGCTATTCCGATGTTGCACATCTTTCTATAAACTTCCAGAAAGAAGCCATCAAAGAAGAGATATCTGAGTTAATCAATAATAAATGTTATTCCGATGTTGCACATCTTTCTATAAACTTCCGGAAAGAAGCCATCAAAGAAGAGATATCTGAGTTAATCAATAATAAATGTTATTCCGATGTTACACATCTTTCTATAAACTTCCGGAAAGAAGCCATCAAAGAAGAGATATCTGAGTTAATCAATAATAAATGTTATTCCGATGTTACACATCTTTCTATAAACTTCCGGAAAAAACGATCAAAGAAGAGATATTTAAGTTAATCAATAATAAATGTTTTCCGATATTTCACATCTTTCTATAAACTTACGGAAAAAACCATCAAAGAAGAGATATTTGAGTTAATCAATAATGAAATTCCGATATTTCACATCATTCTATAAACTTCCAGAAAAAACGATCAAAGAAGAGATATTTCAGAATGGATAAAAGAATGGATTGAAAGAATGGATTGAAAGAATGGATGAAATGAAATTTTCCTAATTAAAAAAAAAAAAAAAAAGAATATTCATATAAATATATTAGCCTAAAAATGACAGATTGTTTCAATTAGACAAATATGCTTGTAATATAGAAGAAATAAAAAAAGAAAAAGAGTGAAATAATTGAGAAAGTTTTGCAATTGCTGTCATTTTAAATTAAATAAAAATCGACCAATAATATATCATACCTTCTTTTGTTTTATTCTTTTCCTTTCCAACAAAATGTCTCTCTCTTTTCATTTTCATTTTTTTTTTTTAGTAATATCAATCCTAAAATTAAAACATTACACTTTTTCTCTCGCTCTCTCTCTCTCTCTTCTCGCTCTCTTCCACTCTCATTCTTTCGTTTTAATGTTATTTTTTCTATGATTTGATCTTTCTTCATTTCAATGAGTTGTTGTTGATTAATGGAAATTTGATCGATTAATAATATTCATAAAGAAGAAGTTTGGTATGTTTCATTTTTCGTTTCTTTACCTTCTTCTTTCATCTTTCATTTTCTTTTTAATCTATCATACTAAAAATGATTATTTCAATTTTTCTCTCTCTCTCTCTCTCTCCCTCTTTTTCTTTTTACTTTTTCAATATAAATGTTTTTAAGGAAAAATAAATGAAGAAATGTTTTTGAAAAAAATGAAAAATTAGCATTTACATTATTGTTATTAATTATTATATAATTAATTAAATTAAATTAAAAAAAAACAATAAATTTATGAAAAATTGCATGAACACTAAATTTGGCCTAAAATGAAATGTGAAAATTTTTTGCATGAAACAAAATTTTCATTATTACATGTATTTAAGAAATTTATTAAAAAATTCTTACGTAATAATTTACTCTGAGATATTTCACTTATTAGTTATTTATATTTACTTATTTACATATATTATTTATATTTACTTATTTAATAATATTACTTATTTAACATTCCATTAAAAACTGCTGCATATTAATTTACTCTGAGATATTTGATTCATTACATATTACTTTCGACATTATTTATTTAACATCAATACTTTTCATTATTAATTATTACTTCTTATTACTCCTATCATTATTATCTGTTACTTCTTATTACTTCTATCATCATCATCATCATCATCATCATCATCATCATCATCATCATCATCATCATCATCATCATCATCATCATCATCATCATCATCATCATCATCATCATCATCATCATCATCATCATCATCATCATC